GCAGCGGCGGTCAGAGAACCATGCCCATGGTTGTTTAAGAGCCTGAGGAAATAAATCAACCCGAATCCGAAACATTCCCATGCGAATAACAGATGTCCCCTGGAGCCATTTTGCTGCTTTGGTTATGGCAGATACGCATAAACGATCACTTTTCCATGCGTTCATTAGCTCCAACTCCACTTCAAACCCATTGCAGATTCACATTGGGCCCGTTTTCTTTTTGCTGCACTTTCAAAATGCAACAACTGCAGTTTAGTTACCTAATTTAATACTAGTGACCTAGCTATTTAAATGCATGGCCCCTCCTTCCTCCTGCAGATAGACGAATTTAAATACATTCAATTAACAATAGTGACCTGCGAGTAATGAGATTAATGCTGTAAAGATGGCGCCGTGGCAAGAGCTCTGGTGTGTGCCGTCTGGAGCACGATGGGGTAGTCTTGCAAATTTTTCCAACGTGGTTTTACTGCAAGTGGCAGAACATGAATCTGAATTAATGCACATTGCTCCTCTTATATCCCTCAGACAATAGAGATTGATGCCATTTAAGATGCATTGCCCCTCAGTTAGCTCAAACACGTGTGAAAACGGAGCCTGCAGACCAAGCACGGGGCGAAAACTGACGCCTGCAGTCCAGTGCGCAGGGCAAAAACCAGCCGCCTGCAGCCCAGACTCCGGGATTAATCCGTCCGCGGTCAGCACACTCACATGCCAGGAGATTTGGGAAAAGCAACGGGACAACGCGGCACCGCCAATCGGAGGCAGGGACACGCACGGCACCGCCAGACCGTCTGCGCGCGGCAGCAGACCACGAGGAACGAGCAGCACAGAGCCCGCGGAGGGGCCCCGCGGAGCAGCCCGCAGAAGAGCCCGCAGAGGAGGAGAGCAGTGGAGACACGCAAACCACAGCAGGTGCAGGGACGCGGAGGAGGAGCAGACCACAAGCAGCCAGACTGAGGACAGCCGGGCCACGCGCACGAGCAACACGTGAGCAGAAGCGACCCCTCCAGAACAACGCATGCATTTGCGAACAGGTGCGTTAGCGACATGCACCTTGCAGACTTCAGAAGCTTGCAGACTTCAGAAGCTTGCAGACTTCAGAAGGCCGGGAAGTGGGCATCTCCGGCTTTTAACTTGCTGTCCTGGTGGTTATTGGTGGATTAGATGTGGGCGTTTTGCTGGTGTAATGAGTAGAGGATGAGCAGGCTTGTAGATCTGGCAGCAGCGGCCGGGTCTACCACAGTGAATTTTCGCGAAGAGCTCCATTACAGACACACAGCGCATTTACATTACAGACCATGGTACACACGTGTAGAGCACAGTAAAGGTTATCAGAATAATGACTTCACAGAGCGATGGTTCCGAATGTTTATCTCGGGTGTGCTAGCGTCCCGTGTCCACTGGGGGGCGTCAGAACGCCGTTGGTGGATCGCCAGTCTGCCTGGGAAGAATGTCCTCAGCCTGATAGAGAGTGTGCAGATCCGATTTGATCTTTGATCTCGCCGGATAGGGGGGCAGAGATGTTTGGTTCTGTGGTCGATCATCGTCCCAGGTTGAAGGTTGTTATCTTTGTGACTAATGGTAGTCCTCCATTCGACCTTTTTATGTCTCGGATGTATGCTCTGGGATGGACATTCCCAGACCGCATGTTTACTCTATCTCGGCTGGTTAACGTCTCAATCGGGGCACTGTTTGTTGAGTCGTGCCCCCTTTGTCATCTTACACACCCCCCCCCACGGCAGAGATGCACCTTCCGACAAGGTGCATGTCATGTCGGATATGCCGGGCGGGTGTCCTCAGTCGGTCGTCTCGCCTGTTCGGGTGTTAGTGTGTGATCTATGGTAACATGTTATAACATTCTCGCCTTAATGTGACTCAGTAGTTCGCAAGCGCCTCACTGGGGCCAGGCTCGCGGCGGTTGGGTCTCGGGCCTCTGGCTTGGTTCGTTGAGGCCGGGTTTTCTCTAAGGCGTGTCCTGGCCCTGCAGGCTAGGGTTAGGGTCGGTGCACCTGGCTCCTGGGTCTCTTGGTCTGGAAGACTCAAAGTTCCAAGCCGAGAGACTAGCAAGAGTTTCTATTTCTAGGGGACTAGAATACAAAAATATAAAGAAAACTCCAAAAATCAAAAAGGGTTGGCTATTTTGGCAGCGATTGGGCGAGTCATTAAGGCACTCGCTGGTGAGGGGTTCCCATCTTGCTCGTTCTAAAAGGGGAGTGCAAGGATTACAAAGGTATATGACGTAGCAAGTGAGGCTTTTAGTCACGAGGGGATTCCTATATATAAACGGGGATGACAGGTATGATTGTCTGGGAGACGGATTGGGTATCGAGGTAGATATGTTTGGGTCTGAGCTGGTGACTCGTGGTATGTTTTAGGCCCTTGGTTCACCTTCTGTGATAGAAAGAGTGACCGTCTCGAGTGGGTGTCTCTGAAGGTCCTCGTACTCTGAGTCGTTGACTTGGGGGCGCCGGCTCAAATTGCCACGCTCGACGGCGCTGTTGCCCCGGTTTGGTCGTTTACGGATTTGTCTCGTCATTGCCTCCGTGCACCTTTTAAAGTTATCGCGGAGTCGTCTAACCCGTCTATTTAGGACGAAAGCCATGGCTACGGCCAGGCCATAACCGAGTCCTACCGCGGTGGCCAAGACCGTATCGGGGGCTGCCCATGAGTAGGTTACCGGTTGGTGGTTGATGGTCGGCCGCTTGGCAATCTCTTGAAGGAGGTTGTCTACGGCCGTAACGTCAACGGTTTGCGCCCCCTCGTAGGTGGCTTGGACGAGGGTGGAGGGTTGAAGTTCCAAGTCCTTTTTCCTCTGCCTCGTACTGGTTTGGGTATAGGTGGTATAATGCTAGGTCGCCTACGTGTAGGATAGCGTCGGCCGGGACGTCGACCCAGAAGGTTTCGTCCGGGAGGTTTACTCGGGACGAGGTGTCATGTTTGTCATAGGTCAGGGTCGCCGTTCTAAGGGGAGTGTTCACTAGCCATCTTGCCCCTACGATCTCTGCTCTGGTTTTGGTTACCTGGTTTCGAGATGTGACCGTTGCGGGGCATTGACTCCCTGGAGTCATGGGCCTCAGGCCGCAGATGCCATCTGTGCTGTCCCTGACGAAAGGTTTACTGGGACAGAGGAAGTGGATGTCTTTGGTGAGGGTGCACATCCTTAGATTTGGCGTTAGGTACAAGTTCGGGTTGCTGTCGTGGTAGGCTACTATGTCTGGCGTCTGGACTCTGACGTGAACGTTGTTCTTCAAGGTCCCTAGGTTAGTGATCCCTTTTAGTCGGTAGATTTTATCGCCGGGAATTATCGGTAGGGTGACTAGGAAGGCTACCTCGCGGTCCAGTGGATTGACGTAGATGGGGACTGCAGCGCCCAGCGTGTACGCCAAGTGGGCTTGCATGGAGGTTACGGCGTCCCGTGTGGCTACGGCTAGGATGTCCTCGACTAACAATAGCGGCACGAGGTATGGCGGGATATGGCCCATGGCTAGGTTTTCGATCGAGGAGCTGAGGTGGCGTAGCATGTCGTCCATCAGTTGGGTGGTCAGCTGAGTATGGGCGTAGTCTAATTGGAGGACGTCTAAGAGTTGATTAACCTTTCAGGGACTTTCCTAAGGTCACCACGTCGTTCTGTTGCTGGTCAAGTCTGGTTTTGACGTCCTCAAGTTCAGAGGCCATTTCTAGTTGGTGGCGTCTGAGGGAGGATAGGCTAATTGCGTTTACCGTGGACATCCCCAGGCTAAAGAGGGTGCCCAGGGCGGATGCCGCGCCGAGGAGAGCCCCAATAAATCGTTTGGGTCTGGGGCGGGGGTCACTGAGCTCTGTCCTAGTGATCGTGAACTTCTCTAGCTGTGACAGCATGTGCTGTATGTCTGCTTCTGCGTGTTCCACAACCGTCTGGGTCCAGCGGGCGCCCGCCCAATCTTTGAGCGTAACTTTAGAGGGCAGGTTCTTGCGGCAGACCTCACTAGGGTTGAGTCTGACAAAGATTTGTTGTGTGTGGAGTCGGACATCCGTGATGAGGAGTCCGGGTTGTTCCTTTAAAACGATCCCGGAGGCTGGTCCGGTCTCAATAATTTCTGGGGTGCCGAGGCACACTATGCAGCACAAGGAGGAGAGTGGGCCACATGTTCTGCAAAGCGTGAAACAACTGTTAGGGGTTAGACAGAGAGAGAGAGATTCGATTAGTGCAGCCAAGAAGAAGGTTAGTGGGTGCTGGACTAATAGTGTTTAAGGTCACGTGGTGTGTTCTTAACTGGAGTTTGTAGTGTGCCCTACCTGTCCCATAGGGCTTTGTTTGTGTGGTTTGATTTGGTTGCGATGTACCCATTTGAGGATGGGTTCTTTCCTACCTTTGGTGATCTCGATCTGGTACACCGCGGGTGAGAGCTTGTTTACCATCCTGTATGGTCCCGACCAGCGGGGTAGTAGTTTCTGGCGTAGTCTGGTGGGACCGGTCACCATTTGTCCTGGGGAATGTGCAAAGATGTAATACCATACCTGGTCTCCAACTTGGAGTTCGTTGTGAGACGCCTTTTGATCGTAGGCGTCCTTCGACGCTGTCTCCCAGTTTCCTTTGTGCGAACGCAAATGTCTGTTTCAGGTGGTCCTCAAGATCGGTCATATATTGGTGTGTGGTGTAGGCCGTGGCGATGTTCGCCTCACCCGGTTGGTAGAGCAGATGCAGCGGAAGCGTCATTTGCCTACCCGTCATCATTTCGAATGGGGATACTCCCGTGGAGCGGTGGGGTGTGGCTCGGATTGCCATCAGGACCAGTGGGAGTTTCACGTCCCAGTCCCTCTGGTTTGTGGATACGTACTTTTTTAGTATTTCAATCACCGCCCGGTTTGTCCTTTCTACCTGCCCCGAGCTCATGGGGTGGTGACTGACGTGAAGGGAGTCCACCACTCCCACAAGTGGGTCACGGCTTCCCCGGTGAAGTGTGTGCCACGGTCCGAGTTCACTCAGCACGGTAGGCCGTATCGCGAGAACACATGGTTCATCAGTAGGCAGGCCGTCGTTTGCGCTGTGTCGTTTGGGGCTGGTAGGCCTCTTCGACCCATTTGGTGAACGCGCAGGTGACCATGAGGGTGTATTTGTTGCCTCGGGTAGACTTAGTTAAGGGGCCCACCCAGTCGATCTGGAGGTCCGACCAAGGGAAGGATATGCCTCTGGACTGTAGGGGGGCCCGGTGTAGTGGTCTTGTTGGTTGGAACTGGCAGCACACCAGGCAGCCCTCGGCATATTGTTTGGCATCATTTTGCATGTTTGGCCAGTAGGCTACCTGTTGTAGTGCCTGGTGTGTGCTGTTTATACCTCTGTGTCCCGCGGTAGGTGCGTCATGGGCGTGTGCCAACATCACCCCCCCATGCTTCGAGGCACCACGAGGACCGGCGAAGTGTGTGCATTGGAAGCATAAACTAACAGCCCATGGCGTATTGACAGTCTGTCTTTATGACGCCAGAGTTTTCTGAGCGTTGCATCACTTGACAGCATGTCGGGTGTGATGTCATGGTCGTTTGGGTCGGCCGTGACGTCGATGAGGCGCTTTAGCGTGGGGTCCGCACATTGGAGGGAGACTAGGTCGGACCTGTCAAAGTCGGGGGTTGTGTGTGTGGGCGTGGCGTCGGGTGCCGGGTCCGTTCTAGCGGCGTTTGCCCTCGTGATCGCGCAGATTGTGGGGGCGGGTTGTTCTGGGGTGGGTGTTTCCTGTCTCTGTTCTTGGAATTGCCACTCCGCGCCATTCTTGGCGCCTTGTTTGGCCAGGCTGTCGGCCATGTCGTTTAGTTCCTTGTCCATGCCGGGCTCGCGTGAGTGGCCTCGGACCTTTTTCCAGTAGATCTGCATGTCGTGTTCTGTGACTATCTTGTCACAGGACATGAACAATTGTCTATGCTTGACTGGCTTCTTGTTGGAGGTGATGTAGTCATTTTTCCTCCACAGAGGCAGGTGGCAGGAGAAGCTGAGGCGGGCATAGTTGGAATCCGTGCAGATCACCATGGTGTTGATTCCGTACCGCACAGCGTGTTGTAGCAAGATCAGTATATGCGATTTCCGCATATTGCAAAGTTTGGGGTCCCAGGAGAAATTGTTGTGGGGGTGAGAGCTTGTCGCCCTTCCATACAATGCCAACAGCTCCTTCAGTGGAGTGTTTTAAGTCTCGTCTTAAGACCCATTTTTATGCTCTGGCTTTTAACACTACGTGAGTTGTATGGTCCTTTTATTTTATTTTATTTCATCTTATTATTGTTATTTTTGTGTTTATACATATGCACACACGGTTTTTCAAATTTGATTTTTTATTATTAACTGTCTTACTATGGATTTATTTTTGGTATTTTATTGTGCAGCACTTTGGAAACTGTGTTTATGAAATGTGCTATATAAATAAAGTGGATTGGATTGGATTGAACTCTGGCGTGTTTTACAGTTTCATGGTGGAACGAGCAGCCGTCCACGTATGCAGTTGGCAGGCCCTCACACAAATTCTGGTCAAAGTAACAGTGCTGGTGCGGTTCGGGTGGGGTGGGTTGTAGTTCCATTTTGGTCCCGGCCGGTGTGTCCACGTTGCAGTCTTGGCATTCGGCCAGTCCCATACCGAGATACGACTTGTGTTTCTGTGCGTATGACACCTGGAGGTCGAAGCTTTGTAGTGCCATCAGCCAGGTGACCACTCTAGCGTTTGTGACCACTCCATCTCTGATTCTTTGGCTGGCAAGAAATGTTACCGGTTGGTGGTTCGTATTAACGACCACCTTTTGGTTGCCTATGTAGTTTGAGAAGTGTTTCACCGCCCAGACGGTGGCCAATAGGGATTTTTCGCAGTCAGAGTATTTGGTCTCGGGTGCGGCCATCGTTTTGCTGGCGTAGGCTACGACTCTTTTGTCGGAGTCGTGGGTTTGGTATAGGCCAGCGCTGAGGCTGTGCTCGGAGAACCCGATTTCCAGAAAGAATGGTTTGTCTGGGTTCGGGTACGCCAGGCATGGGGCTTCGGTCAATCGTTTAATGAGGGTCTTCATGGCCTTGTCGTGACTGTCTTCCCAGACGAAAGGGGTGTCCTTTTTCACTAGGTTCGTCAGGGGTTTTGCTATCTCGGCGTAGTGTTCCACAAACTGGCGGGAGTAGTTACATACCCCTAATAAGCTGCGTAGTTCTGAGACGTTTGTGGGCGTTTTTAAGTTTGACAGGCCTTGGGTCCTGCTAACCTGTGGTTCCACGCCCCGGGGCCCGACTAGGAGGCCTACATAGTTTACCTTGGTGCGGCACCATTGGCATTTATGTAGCGACACTTTCGCTCCAGCCGAAGTGAGCTGATCCAGGACGTGGTCAATTTCCACCAGGTGTTCCTCGAAGGTAGTGGTTCTCAGAAGGACGTCATCTACGTAGATCAAAGTGCCTCTGCTGGCTGCATCCGGGCAGGCTTTGTTCAAGAAGATGTTGAACTCTGCCGGTGAGTTTGAGAGGCCAAAAGGGCAGCGTGTGAACGTGTATTGTTTATTGGCAAAGCTGAAGGCCAGCTTGTGTTGGTCCTGCGGGTGTACCGGTATTGTCCAGAAACCCGAAGCAATGTCAAGCGTGGAGAAGAATTTGGCGTCCCTTACTTTTGGCAGGTCTTGGCCCAGTTGGGTCATTGGCCATCTGGACAGGGGAATTTGTGAGTTAAGGCGGCGGTAGTCGACAGTCAGTCGCCATTTGCCGTTGGGTTTGAGCACCGGCCATGTAGGGGCGGAGTAGGTGCTGTTGCAGAGGCGTATGACTCCTTTGACAAGGAGATCGTCTATAATGCCTTGCACTGGTTTGTAAGACGCCAAAGGAATTTTGTATTGGCGGACATAAGTTGGCGTTAGGTTTAGACGGGATGCGGACTGTGTGTATGTCAGTCAGGCCTCAGTCCGTGGGGTCTGTGGCGAAAGAGGATTTGTATTTCATCAGCACTTGACGGAGTTTAGCTCTGTCTTCGTCAGTGCTGATGGCATCTGCTAACGTCACGGTTTTGTCCAGCTCTTCCTCAAAGGAGGGGCTGGCGGCGGGTTCTCGCGTCGGCTCGGGAGCCTTTTGGGTAGAGGTGAGGTTGTGTTCAGAGTCTATGACCGACACGGTCTGTAGAATCATCTCTGACTGGTTGGTCAGGTCCCCTCTGCACACGTCACTGGCTTTAGGGCCGGGTACCGTGAAGAGGGAGATCGACCTTGATGGTTTGGTGAGTAGGGCCTGCACGTCGGGGTCCTGGTTCAGCCCTGTTGGCCAGTCACCTATCACCGGGAGGCGGAGATCGAAATTGTGGAACGTAGTGTCGATCAGCCAGCCCAGTGGGGTGCCCCGCGGTACGAGGATGGCGTCCTCTGTGGTGTTTAGCACCTTCACGTGCGTTTTGCGGCCTTCCAGCCGTAGGAGGGGGGTCGCCTCCGTTTGCAGTCCAAGCGTTATGAACAGGTGGGATGGTTGGAAGAAGGCTTGGGAGTTGCTGGTTAGTTGGCCAGGCAGGACTATCAGACTTAGTGGCGCAGACGTGTTTGGTGGTAGCGTGAGGTGGTTTTGTGTTGCGACTTGGCACACCTCTGGTATGGTCTGGCCTGATTTCAGGTTGTCCAGCGGAGGGGTCTCGGATTTTGTCGTCACGGTCGTGAGTGACCAGAGGACGTTGTTAATCGCGTCTATTTGGGTGTCTAAACGGGTCAAGACGTCGCCGCCGATGACTATCGGGTGTGGCAGGTCTTTGACGACCGAGAACGTATGTTTGAGCGTCTTGTCATGTATCTGTAAGGCGAGTGAGCAGAACCCTATAGCCGGGAGCACGTCTGGGGACCGGTGGTCCTTTGGGAAGCGCGAGGTTTTCCTAACAAAAGGTAGGTTTGGTAAGTTTTGTGCCAGCGTGTGGAATAAGTCCTGGCTGACTGCGGATTTGTCTGCCCAATAGGCGAGGGCAGTGTCTGGAAACTTTGTGCCCGCCAAGATCACGCTGTCGTTTATACCGGGTGAGTCCGAGTGTGCGGATGGCGCGAAGGAGCATAGGAAGTTAGTGCCTGTTCTTGCCGGGAAACCGTGGTGACAGGTCTCGGTTTGTGCCGTGGCAGGCTGTAGGCCGTCTGTAGGTGGCGCTTCTACAAAGTAGCAGTGGTTCTCGCTCAGTGTGCGTGGGATGGGGAAGGGCTTTCGGACTTGAGCCCAGATCTTCAGGCGTTGGAAGTCTATTAGGGGCTCGAACCGATTTAGAAGGTCCTGGCCCAGCAGGAGCGGAATAGAGTTGAGTGGGGAGATGTAGACCGGGTGGACTAGCGTCATGGGGCCCACGGTCAGTTGTATTAGCGCCATTTTACGTATGGTCGTGTTTACCAGGGAGTAGGGTCGTATTTCCAAGTCGCACGGCTGCGTTTTCAGGTCTTTGTGAGACTTTCCGGCCAGGGATTGTAACTTACCGAAGAGATCGTCGGCAATCAGGCTGATATCGGCGGCTGTGTCTACGAGCGCTTCGTGTTCCCACTGATCCTCAAGCGTCACGGACAGGTAGAGTTTCCTGTTGGCACCTCTTTGTTGTAGATCACCAATGAACTGGTGGAACGGTGGTTCGCACCTGATTGTCGAGGGGCCATCCCCTCGCGGGTCGGTGATTGAACTTACCTGTACCACCATGACATCTCTTTGGTCGTAGTAGGCGTCTTCTTCCCGTGGGTGGGGGTCTCGGGGTTCTTCGCTTACCTCGTCTTGGAGGTCCACAAGGGTGTGTGGGTCGGAGTAGGCATCCTCTGGCTCTTGCTCGCTAAGGTCATCGTCTATTTGGTAGGGAGCGTCATCGGTGTCGTCCGGCATGGACAATGCGAATACGTCGGCATTGTCTGCCTTTACTTCTTTGGCTTTGCGCAGGAGTGCGCGGAGGAGGGCTTGTTCTTGTCTGGAAAGGTTGTTTTTATTTATGGTCGTGGCTGGGCGGTCTTGGCGGGTTCGTTGTGGTGCACGGTCTTTCCCGTCGGGCTGGGCGGCGCGTCTCTCGTCATATTGCGGGACTTTTTGGTCGCGTGACTGTCCGTTCTTTGGGTCCGTGCGTCGCTGGTTATTCCTTTGGGGTCTGCGATCCGTTCCCCATCTTTGTTTTTGGATAGTTGGTGCGCCTTCGAGTTCCATGTGGTTTTCCACGCTGTTCCGTAGGCTGGTTTTGTGGTTTTGTCTGGGTTTTAAGCAAGTGTTTGCTCTGTGCCCTTGCCACTAGGGTCTTCAGTTGTCGTATGTCCTGTGTAAGGGGGCAGGCGAACACGCCTAGTAGGAAGCTGAGGTTGGGATGGAGGTTTTGGATGTACAGGGCCTTGAAGTTTTTATCTTCTTCCATCCCTTCGTAGTTCTGGTTGCCGAAGTAAGCCTGTCTTAACCTGTGGTAGTAGCAGTCTGCAAGCTCGTTGTGAGTGTTTGACTGCCATGGCTGCCGTGAGGGTCCCGGAAGCACCGAAGTCTGAGTATTCTGCCAGGAGGGCTTTGCAGAGCTCGTTGTAATCCATTCTTGTGGCTCTTGGTTGCCTTTCGATGAAGTTATTCACTTCTCTATTGGACGTGAGCCTCATTAAGAATATTTTGTCTCCCGGAGATGCGTTTGGCATGCGGTCAGTGTAGAAGTCAATTTCCCGGAGGTATGCTTGGGTGTCCGTAGGCATGCCGGGCCGGGGGTCAAAGCGGTTTATGTGTCTGGCCATGCGATCAAAGTCCCGGTCGGATGGGCCGGTCAGGTCACGACCGGTAGGGGGCGTGTCAAGGGTGTCGCGTCCTCTATAGTCCGGGTAGTTACGTTGACATAGGCCTAAGTCTTGTCGTGCGCCAGGGGGAGTGTCGAGGGGGTGTCTTCCATGGTTAGGGAGGTCCCCGGCGTCCCCATGGCGGTTTGCTGGCCACTGTGTCGCAGCGTTTGCGGACGGTCCAGACCTAGGGTACGGTACGTGGTGTGGTCCGGGTAGCATGTTCCTATGTGCGCCAGGGGGGTCGTTGTAGGGTTGCCTTCCATGTTCAGGTTGGGCCCTCTCGTCCCAGTGGCGGTCGTCTGGACTGTGTCTCGTATGGACGTCAGGTGGTCCAGAGTCATAGGTCGGGTAGTCATGTTGTCTGTTAAGCATGCCTATGTGTGTGCCATGAGGGGTGTCGTGGGGTTTCCTTCCATGGTCGTGGTGGTCCCCATTGTCCCATTGGCGGGTTGTTGGCCACTGTCTGGCATGGTCCGTGGTTAGTCCGGATCTATGGTTTTGGTAGCCCTGTGTCTCGTTTTTTATGTCCCGATGTGCTACGGCGGGTCTGGCATGGGGTTGTCTCTCATAGACGGAGAGGTCCCTGAGGTCCCGTGAGCGGTCTGTCATGTGGTGCGTAGCTTGGCTCGTAGGTGGGTCGAGTCTGGGGTCTAAGTAGTCGATGCGTCTGTTGTTTTGTTGTGGGCCGGCTGTGGTTGGGTGCGGTCCCGTTGTTTGGTCGGAGTCGCGCGCAACTTGGTTGGGTCCGTCGTTGACGGACCGGTGGGGCCTGCTTTGGTTTGCATCGTTGGGTTCTTTATTACCCCTTTGTCCTTGACCGTGGTCTTCTCCCGTGAGGACACTTACCAGTTCGGCCACGCTCCTGCGGTCCCTATCGGACGATGGGCCGCCGTAGTCGGAGGGAGGGGACTGTGACCGGGAGGCATTTTCCCGACTGGTTCCGGCCGTCATAGCGGCCCTGATTCTCGATGCGCGGTCAAGATCCATGGTCGCGCTTGGAGTAACGTCCAGTCCCTGCCGGCGGTCTCTACTTACCTGTTGGTGTTGTTCCATAAGGTTTGCGGCGGAGTTTCTAGCCTCCGCTAGTTGCCGTTGTAGTTCACCTACCGTGTCTTGAAGCTTTTCTTTCTGAGCTTCGGAGTCGCGCAAGGTTATCCTGGAGACTGCGGCTAGTTGCCCTTACCTTCGAGTTTCTTTGTTATAGCCTCGGATGCCAACATGGAGGTGGCATCCTGTAATTCAGAGGGCGAGCCGCCTTCAAGCGTGTAAGTAAGTAAGTAAGTAAGCTTTATTTATATACCGCCTTTCTCAGACCAGAGTCACAAAGCGGTTTACAATTGTTATTTTTTTGGGCACTTGTCCTCTCACTCCACACAGAGATGGGAGCAGGGTCGCCGAACAGGAGGCGCATGCCAGACCTATTGTACATATTATTAGTGGTAGGGGAAACCGGAGTACCCGGAGGAAACCTACGCAGACACGGGGAGAACATGCAAACTCCACTCAGAAAGGCCCTGGTCCGGCCGGGATTCGAACCCAGGACCTTCTTGCTGAGAGGCGAGAGTGCTATCCACTCAGCCACCGTGGCCCCCGGGGATAACTTTTTGGTGAAGTTACGCAGAAAGTTATCCCCTACGTCTTGTTCTTCCATCTCGTCATCGTGCTCGCTCGGGCGTGGCGAGGTGTCGCCACCGTTGTCCATACTTGCGTGAGTGAGTGTGTGCGAGTGTGACTTGGAGCGCGTGTGCATGACACGGTGGGAGAAGGAAAGGAGGGAAGTAGTGTCAGAGCGGGTTGTTCAGCTGTTGTACGTGTGGTGGTGCAAACCTTGATGTGTGTCAATGCCGTGGCCACTGCGTCGTCTTCTTGCATTGGTGTATGCGAGTAGGTGACTTAGGATTGGGGTCAGGCCTTAGTGTCTCTTCACCTGCGTATCAGCGAAGAGGGTTGGGGTTAGCAGCGTCGGAGCACGCAGGGGGTTTTGTTAATATTAGCACTAGCGGTAGCAGTAGCGTCAGAAGTAGCACTAGCGGTAACAGTTAGCAGTTAGCGGCAGCGGTAGCAGGAAAGCTAGCACCAGTCCAAACAACAAAAGTAATGCGGTTTAGTAATTGCTAGTAGTGAGGAGAAACAGGGATTTAGCATTAGTCTAAACAACAAAAGTAATGCAGTTTATTAATAGCTAGTAGTGAGGAGAAACAGGAATTTAGCATTAGTTTAAACAACAAACGCAATGCAGTTTAGCAATTGAAAGTAGTGAGGAGAAGCCGGAAGTTAGCTTTAGGCTAAACAACAAAGCAATGCAGTTCAGTAATAGCATGTAGCATGGAGACACAGGAAGGTAGCATTAATCTCAACAACAAAGCAATGCAGTTTAGTAATAGAATGTAGTGAGAAGCAGGAATTTAGCATTAATCTAAACAACAGAAGCAATGCAGTTTAGTAATAGAATGTAGTGAGGAGAAGCAGGAATTTAGCATTAGTCTAAACAAAAGAAGCAATGCAGTTTAGCAATCGAAAGTAGTGAGGGGAAACCGGAAGTTAGCATTAGGCTAAACAACAAAGCAATGCAGTTCAGTAATAGCATGTAGCATGGAGACACAGGAAGGTAGCATTAATCTCAACAACAAAGCAATGCAGTTTAGTAATAGAATGTAGTGAGGCGAAGAGACAGAGTGGTAAGAGACAGGTTTAGCAGGAGGTTAACAGCAGAACAGTGGCTTCTCATACAGCAGCTGCCATTAACAACATTTATACATATATCTGACTTTTCAGCTCCGGCCGCACGTGGCGTGCGGTTTAAAATCTCTTTAACCGTGAAAGAGCACACAAAGGAACAGACACAAGCACAATTGAGACAGCGTCTGTGAGCCCCAGCCTGTGTCCTTGGATTGGCGCACAGGGTGGGCTCTGTAAGCTTGTGTTTTGGGCACAGGGGTATTGTTCCCGTGGGGACGGGTAGTTCGCTTCAAAGTTGCATAGTACCCGATACTGGTCGGGATTTGAGGCTACTAGTACAGCCTTAAAAAAAAAAAAATTACATGCAGGGGTCGCTTTATCGCAAGCGGGGCGCAGGGGAGCTCGATTGGCTATTTAATCAATCTAGCAGCGAGGTAGCGCACGGAGACGCGTGGGGGTGAGGAGGTGGGGGTGAGCACTGGGAGCGCTAGTAATAATAAGCCAGCGTTTTCGGTCAAATCATCAGAGTACGAGTTTATCAATCTAGATATTTGCGCGGATCTCACAAACGGGGCACCAGATATGTAGGGTATGAAAATAGTGATGTGGAGCGGCTAGTCCCCAGGTTGGAGTCTCGCCGTTCCACACAGAGGGATCTGAATTTATTTTTAGGGGCACCAGTAGAGTTTGAACGTCTACAACAGATCCAATACTAATCTGCCTCGATCAGTCTCACAATCTGATAGGTTTTGAGTTCGAAATCAGCCAGGGATATCAAAAGATTTATAAAAAGGACACTTTGACGATGACTTAAGTTTATTGTGGGTTTATTGACTACATACGAAAATAGAAAAATATCAACGAGGAGGGGTTTGGTCACATTAAACAGAGATGTTAAATATATCACGTGAATCACACATTAACGTGGCAATTAGAACAGTCTTACTTTGACGTAGTCCGTATTGAAGAATCGAGGAATGAAGAAAAGGGGGGGGTGGACAGTCCACGTGCTCCTTTGTTCGGGTAGGAGAGACAGACGAAGGCCAGCAGGTCCAATCCAAACTTTAAATCCCCACACACGTACGCTGCCTAGAAAAGCGTCGCATATGGAGGCGTCCAGAGTGCCGGAAAGTGGCTGGTGGATGAGAGTTCGTTGTCTCCGACAGCGGGTGTTGTTAGCTGTCCTCGTGGAGGTATAGGGGCCCAAGTTGTTGCAGGCCCACAGGTTGCGTTGGAGACGCGTACCTGGTTACTAAGTTGATTACAAGATGCCAAGAGAAAGTTTCTCTGGGTGGTGTGTGGTTTTATTGTGTTCCAAAGGAGGCGCGTCTATGACGTCATCTTTGTGCGTCTCCCTGGACAGACATGTTATAACGGCATACACATACACCGATGTCTTATAACACATATACAGACACACAGCGCATTTACATTACAGACCATGGTACACACGTGTAGAGCACAGTAAAGGTTATCAGAATAATGACTTCACAGAGCGATGGTTCCGAATGTTTATCTCGGGTGTGCTAGCGTCCCATATCCACTGGGGGGCGTCAGAACGCCGTTGGTGGATCGCCAGTCTGCCTGGGAAGAATGTCCTCAGCCTGATAGAGAGTGTACAGACCCGATTTGATCTTTGATCTCGCCGGATGGGGGGCAGAGATGTTTGGTTCTGTGGTCAATCATCGTCCCAGGTTGAAGGTTGTTATCTTTGTGACTAATGGTAGTCCTCCATTCGACCTTTTTATGTCTCGGATGTATGCTCTGGGATGGGCATTCCCAGACCGCATGTTTACTCTATCTCGGCTGGTTAATGTCTCAATCGGGGCACTGTTTGTTGAGTCGTGCCCCCTTTGTCATCTTACATGTGTTAATGACATGTTACTGACGTGTTACTGGCATGTTACTGACATGTTACTGACAAGTTACTGATGTGTCACTGACACTGTCACTGACGTGTTATTGACGTGTGACTGACATGTTACTGACGTGTTACTGATGTGTCACTGACGTGTCACTGACATGTTACTGACGTGTTACGGGCATGTTACTGACGTGTTACTACTGTGTTACTGGCATGTTACTGATGTGTTACTGGCATGTTACTGACATGTTACTGACGTGTTACTGATGTGTTAATGACGTGTTACTGACGTGTTATTGACATACTACTGACGTGTTACTGACATGTTACTGACGTGTTACTGACGTGTTTCTGACGTGGTACTGACGTGTTTCTGACGTGTTACTGACGTGGTACTGACGTGTCACTGACGTGTTACTGACGTGTTACTGACGTGTTTCTGACGTGTTACTGACGTGGTACTGACGTGTCACTGACGTGTTACTGACGTGTTACTGACATGTTACTGACGTGTTACTGATGTGTTACTGGCATGTTACTGATGTGTTACTGACATGTTACTGATGTGTTAATGACATGTTAATTACATGTTACTGACATGTTACTGACGTGTTACTGATGTGTTAACGACATGTTACTGACATGTTACTGACATGTTACTGACGTGTTACTGATGTGTTAATGACATGTTGCTGATGTGTTACTGACGTGTTATTTTTTGACAGGAGTGTGAGATGTTACGTTACATCAGTGACAACTGCGGTGAGTCTCACGTTATGATGATGACGATGATGATGATGGTGTTGCTGATGGTGATGATGATGACGATAATGATGATGGTGATGATGAAGATGATGGTGGTGATGGTGATGATGAAGATGATGATGATGATGATGATGATAGTGATGATTATGATGATGAAGATGATGATGATGAAGATGATGGTGGTGATGATAATGATGATTATGATGAAGATGATGATGATGAAGATGGTGGTGATGATGATGACGATGGTGGTGATGATGATGATTATGATGATGGTGATGATGGTGATGGTGGTGATGATGATGGTGATGATGGTGGTGATGATGGTGATGATAATGATGATGAAGATGGTGATGATGTTGATGAGGATGATGGTGATGATGAAGATGATGATGGTGGTGATGATGGTGATGATTATGATGATGATGCTGGTGATGATGATGGTGGTGATGATGATGATGATGATTATGATGAAGATTGTGATGATGGCGATGATGATGATGGTGGTGATGATGGCGATGATGATGATGGTGGTGATGATGATTATGATGGTGGTGATGAAGATGATGATGGTGATGGTGGTGATGATGATGGTGATGATGGTGGTGATGATGATGATGATGGTGACGATGGTGATGATGAAGATGATGATGGTGGTGATGATGGTGGTGGTGATGATGATGGTGATGATGATTATGATGATGAAGATGATGATGGTGATGATGGTGGTGATGATGATGATGAAGATGATGATGGTGATGATGATTATGATGATGAAGATGATGATGGTGATGATGATGGTGGTGATGAAGATGATGGTGGTGATGATGATGATGAAGATGATGGTGGTGGTGATGATGATGATGATGATGATGGTGGTGGTGATGATGATGGTGATGACGATGATGTTGGTGATGATGAAGATGATGGTGGTGATGATGATTGTGATGACGATGATGATGATGAAGATGATGGTGGTGATGATGATGATGATGGTGGTGATGATGATGATGGTGGTGGTGATGATGATGATGAAGATGATAATGATGGTGATGATGAAGATGATGATGATGACGATGATGATGAAGATGATGATGTGTTTCCGCAGCCTGCTCCTATGGTACGTGTCTCCATGGTGACCAGACCTCAGCCTGAGGATCTTCCTCCTGAAGAACTGTGGTGTATAGGCCTCCTGAGATGTTCATGGTCCTCTGAGACACATGGTCCTTAGAGACACACTTGGTCCTCAGAGCGACAGTCTTGCAGCCGGTTCTGGGTCTCCAGACCACCTGGTCTCAGTCTTGGTCTCAGTCCTGGTCTGTGGTGTCAGTCCTGGTCTGTGGTCTTAGTCCTGGTCTCAGTCCTGGTCTGTTGTCTCAGTCCTGGTCTGTGGTCTCAGTCCTGGTCTCTGGTCTCAGTCCTGGTCTCTGGTCTCAGTCCTGGTCTCACAGTCTCTGGTCTCAGTCCTGGTCTGTGGTCTGTGGTCTCAGTCCTGGTCTCTGGTCTCAGTCTCTGGTCTCAGTCCTGGTCTCTGGTCTCAGTCCTGGGCTGTGGTTTCAGTCCTAGTCTGTGGTCTCAGTCCTGGTCTCTGGTCTCAGTCCTGGTCTCTGGTCTCAGTCCTGGTCTCAGTCCTGGTCTGTGATCTCAGTCCTGGTCTGTGGTCTCAGTCCTGGTCTCTGGTCTCAGTCTCTGGTCTCAGTCCTGGTCTGTGGTCTCAGTCCTGGTCTCTGGTCTCAGTCTCTGGTCTCAGTCCTGGTCTGTGGTCTCAGTCCTGGTCTCTGGTCTCTGGTCTCAGTCCTGGTCTCAGTCCTGGTCTGTGGTCTCAGTCCTGGTCTGTGGTCTCAGTCCTGGTCTCTGGTCTCAGTCCTGGGCTGTGGTCTTAGTCCTGGTCTGTGGTCTCAGTCCTGGTCTGTGGTCTCAGTCCTGGTCTGTGGTCTCAGTCCTGGTCTGTGGTCTTAGTCCTGGTCTCTGGTCTCAGTCCTGGTCTCTGGTCTCAGTCCTGGTCTGTGGTCTCAGTACTGGTCTGTGGTCTCAGTCCTGGTCTCTGGTCTCAGTCCTGGTCTCTGGTCTCAGTCCTGGTCTCAGGCCTGGTCTGTGGTCTCAGTCCTGGTCTCTGGTCCACAGAGCGGGTGGAGTGCCCGGTGGTGCCCACGGAGCTGGTGGTGGGTCTGGACATGTCGGAGGACATGACGTCGGAGGCGTTCGAGCGTCAGCGTGAGTCGCTGCTGTCGCTGCTGTCGTCTATGAGCGTGTCGCAGTCGACGTGTCCCCGTGGCGCCCGCGTCTCCATCGTGGCGTTCAGCGCTCGAACCAAGTACCTCCTACGCTTCTCCGACTACAGCGGCAAAGAGCAGCTGCTGCAGGCTGTCAGGAACATCGGCCTGGAGCGGACCGCCAGCCGGAGGAGGCTGGGGGAGGCCATGAGGTGAGGAGGGGGGGTGAGGTGGGGGGGGGCGGCGGAGGCACATGTCTCCTCAGGTCCCTCTGGTCTCACTGGTCCCTCTGGTCTCACTGGTCTCCCTCAGGTCTCACTGGTCTCCCTCAGGTCTCACTGGTCCCTCAGGTCTCACTGGTCTCCCTCAGGTCCCTCTGGTCTCACTGGTCCGTCTGGTCTCACTGGTCTCCCTCTGGTCTCACTGGTCTCCCTCAGGTCCCACTGGTCCCTTTGGTCTGACTGGTTTCTCTCTCGTCTCACTGGTCCCTTTGGTCTCACTGGTCCCTCTGGTCTCACTGGTCTCCCTCAGGTCTCACTGGTCTCCCTCAGGTCCCTCTGGTCTCACTGGTCCGTCTGGTCTCACTGGTCTCCCTCTGGTCTCACTGGTCTCCCTCAGGTCCCACTGGTCTCACTGGTTTCTCTCTCGTCTCACTGGTCCCTCTGGTCTCACTGGTCTCCCTCTGATCTCACCGGTCTCACTGGTCCCTCTGGTCTCACCGGTCCCTCTGGTCTCACCGGTCCCTCTGGTCTCACCGGTCCCTCTGGTCTCACTGGTCTCACTGGTCTCACCGGTCCCTCTGGTCTCACTGGTCTCACTGGTCTCACCGGTCCCTCTGGTCTCACTGGTCCCTCTGGTCCCTCAGGTCTCTCTGGTCTCTCTGGTCTCTCTGTCTCTCTGGTCTCTCTGGTCTCACTGGTCCCTCTGGTCTCACTGGTCCCTCTGGTCCCTCTGGTCTCACTGGTCTCACTGGTCTCCCTCTGGTCCCTCTGGTCCCTCTGGTCTCACTGGTCCCTCTGGTCTCACTGGTCTCCCTCTGGTCTCACTGGTCTCACTGGTGTCACTGGTCCCTCTGGTCTCACTGGTCCCTCTGGTCTCACTGGTCTCACTGGTCCCTCTGGTCTCACTGGTCCCTCTGGTCTCACTGGTCCCTCTGGTCTCACTGGTCTCCCTCTGGTCCCTCTGGTCTCACTGGTCCCTCTGGTCTCACTGGTACCCTCTGGTCTCACTGGTCCCTCTGGTCTCACTGGTCCCTCTGGTTCCTCTGGTCTCATTGGTCTCCCTCTGGTCTCTCTGGTCCCTGAGGTCTCACTGGTCCCTCTGGTCTCCCTCTGGTCTCTCTGGTCTCACTGGTCCCTCTGGTCTCACTGGTCCCTCTGGTCCCTCAGGTTCGTGGGGCACCATGTGTTGAAGAGGGTGCGTTCCGCTCACACGCTGCAGAAGGTGGCGCTGTTCTTCTCTAATGGACCGACTCAGGACCCGGAGGAGCTGGTTACCGCGGTGATGGAGCTCAGAGCCAATAACATTGTCCCAGTGGTGATGTCCCTGAGGACCGCCCCCAACGTGGAGACCGCCCTGAAGGTCAAACACATGACCTCACTGACCTCACTGACCTCTGTGACCTCAGTGACCTCTGACCTCTGTGACCTCTGACCTTAGTGACCTCTGACCTCACTGACCTCTGACCACTGACCTCTGTGATCTTACTGATCTCTGTGATCTGTGACCTCTGACCTCAGGTTGATGATTCGGGGAAATCCATTTTTTCTGTTTTGAGTCGAAATAAAGAAGAAACTCTGAAGAAGATCAAGAACTGTGCTCTGTGCAACGGTCTGTCCTCCTCCTCTGACCTTTGACCTCTGACCTCCTCCTCTGACCTCCTCCAACCTCCTCCTCTAACCTCTGACCTCCTCCTCTGACCTCCTCCTCTGACCTCCTCCTCTAACCTCTTGCCTCCTCTTCTGACCTCTGACCTCCTCCTCTAACCTCTGACCTCCTCCTCTGACCTCCTCCTCTAACCTCTGACCTCCTCCTCTAACCTCTGACCTCCTCCTCTGACCTCTGACCTCCTCCTCTAACCTCTGACCTCCTCCTCTAACCTCTGACCTCCTCCTCTGACCTCTGACCTCCTCCTCTAACCTCTAACCTCCTTCTCTGACCTCCTTCTCTAACCTCTGACCTCCTCCTCTAACCTCTGACCTCTGACCTCCTCCTCTGACCTCCTCCTCTAACCTCCTCTTCTCCCTCAGACCCCTGCAGCCCCTCCCCCTCCTGCTCCTTCCAGGACCGGCCTGTGTCTGTGGACCTGGACCTGGCGCTGGTCCTGGATGGGTCTAGGGAGGTTCCTCAGGACCAGTTCCAGGGTTTTCAGGAGCTGTTGGGTTCAGTGGTTTCACAGGTAAAAGTGCATCGTACTTACTCAGCACTTTATACATATACATTCATTTATGTGTAAAAGTACATGTACATGTACTTTTACACATATACTCATATATATGTATAAGTATATGTACATGTACATGTACTTTGTACATATACTCATATATATGTATAAGTATATGTACATGTACATGTACTTTGTACATATAATAATAATAATAATGTATCAGTTTTATAAAGTGCTTTTCTGGACTCTCAAAGTCTCTTCACATCATTATCCTCTCTCTCCAAACCCGGTGGTGATAAACTACTGTAGCCACAGCTGCCCTGGGGCACACTGACAGAAGGGAGGCAACCAGTCTGTCCCATTCACACACACACCAGACTCATTCTAATGTGGGGGAAGTGTCTTGCCTAAGGACACAACCACAGTTTGGCACTTTACAGCCGCAGCCGCCCCACTGTGGCACCTGCTGTTCCCAGAGGTTAAGTGTCTTGCCCAAGGACAGAACGAATGGTGAAGGTCGGGCTCGCACCCACAACCCTCTGGCCTCAAAGGCCAATGCCCTACCAACTGAAAGTAAATCTAAGATTATTAAGATCTTAGATTTTTATATATATACATATAAAAAAAAATTGTCCACTCACCTTTGGCCCTCCGCGGGCGGTTATCCCTCTCTATCTGTGGGCGGTTATCCCTTTCTATCTGTGGGCGGTTATCCCTATCTATCTGTGGGCGGTTATCCCTTTCTATCTGTGGGCGGTTATCCCTCTCTATCTGTGGGCGGTTATCCCTCTCTATCTGTGGGCGGTTATCCCTTTCTATCTGTGGGCGGTTATCCCTCTCTATCTGTGGGCGGTTATCCCTCTCTATCTGTGGGCGGTTATCCCTCTCTATCTGTGGGCGGTTATCCCTCTCTATCTGTGGGCGGTTATCCCTTTCTATCTGTGGGCGGTTATCCCTCTCTATCTGTGGGCGGTTATCCCTCTCTATCTGTGGGCGGTTATCCCTCTCTATCTGTGGGCGGTTATCCCTCTCTAAGCTCGGGTCCTCTACCAGAGGCCTGGGAGCTTGAGGGTTCTGCGCAGTATCTTTGCTGTTCCTAGCACTGCACATTTCTGGACCGAGATGTCCGAGGTTGTATATATATATATATATATATATATATATATATATGTATATATATATGTATGTGTATATATATATATATTACATGTATGTACTGTATATGTATAAGTACATGCACTGTATCTATATACAGCACTTTACAGAAGAACAAGAAACTAAACAAACAGTTAAGTGTCGGCACTCTTGAGTGGTATCATTGGCATGACACCATGTGTCACACTATGTGACATCACACCATGTGACATCACACCATGTGACATCACACTATGTGACATCACACCATGTGACATTACACTATGATGACAAAGAGACTCACGTTGGTCACCTCTCCCCAGGTGTCCCTCAGCCCGAGCCCTCAGAGACCTGGTCCAGGCCAGGTCCGGGTCGGTCTGGTTCAGATGAGTGGGAACAGTCCTACCCTGGAGTTTGGACTGGACCAGTACCAGAACCAGGTGCAGGTCCAGGACCATCTGCTCCACAAGGTCCAACAGAAGAGAGGCTCCTCTGCCCTGGGACTGACTCTGGACTTCACCCTCCGCCAGGTGAGAACCATCAGGACACAACCTGTCCCAGGTGAGAACCATGAGGAGACAACCTGTCCCAGGTGAGAACCATGAGGAGACAACCTGTCCCAGGTGAGAACCATCAGGAAACAACCTGTACCAGGTGAGAACCATGAGGAGACAACCTGTCCCAGGTGAGAACTATGAGGACACAACCTGTCCCAGGTGAGAACTATGAGGACACAACCTGTCCCAGGTGAGAACCATGAGGAGACAACCTGTTCTAGGTGAGAACCATCAGGAAACAACCTGTACCAGGTGAGAACCACGAGGAGACAACCTGTCCCAGGTGAGAACCATGAGGAGACAACCTGTCCCAGGTGAGAACCATGAGGAGACAACCTGTCCCAGGTGAGAACCATCAGGACACAACCTGTCCCAGGTGAGAACCATGAGGAGACAACCTGTCCCAGGTGAGAACCATGAGGAGACAACCTGTCCCAGGTGAGAACCATGAGGACACAACCTGTCCCAGGTGAGAACCATCAGGAGACAACCTGTTCTAGGTGAGAACCATCAGGAAACAACCTGTACCAGGTGAGAACCACGAGGAGACAACCTGTCCCAGGTGAGAACCATGAGGAGACGCCCTGTCCCAGGTGAGAACCATGAGGAGACAACCTGTCCCAGGTGAGAACCATGAGGACACAACCTGTCCCAGGTGAGTACCATGAGGAGACAACCTGTTCTAGGTGAGAACCATCAGGAAACAACCTGTACCAGGTGAGAACCACGAGGAGACAACCTGTCCCAGGTGAGAACCATGAGGAGACAACCTGTCCCAGGTGAGAACCATGAGGAGACAACCTGTCTCAGGTGAGAACCATGAGGAGACAACAGTGTCGAACCATCCTAGGGGACCAGGTGGGCTTCTGCTGGTGCCTCCTCAGGGACAATGTGTCTTTTTGATCTAGTTTTTGTCCTTGTCTAAATTAATTATAATGGTCTAAAATCACAGCAGTTTCTAAAATTATTAATCAAAAATACAGATGCTCTGACCTCTCTTCCCTCCTCCCCTTCTGTCCCCCTCCCTCCCCCTCCCTCCCCCTCTCCTGTCCCCCCTCCCCCCCTCCCTCCCCCTGCAGCTCCTGCTCAGGTCAGGTTCTCCCCCCCGGCAGAAGCTCCTCCTCCTCGTCCTGGGGACTCAGTCTGTGTCTCTGAGGGACCGCTCTCGCCTGGACTTCGTTTCCCAGCAGGCCTTGTGTGAGGGCGTGGCTGTTGCCGTGGTGACGGTGGGGGCGGGGCCTAACCGGACTCAGGTGGAGCGTCTGGCCAGTCCCCCGGTCCCTCAGCATCTGGTCCAACTGGTCGACCTCAAAGGAGACCAGCGGGACTACACAGCAAGGTTCCTTCGGGTGTTACTGTCCATGATAACCAGTAAGTCCAGGACTGAGGCCCGGGACTAGGACTAGGACCTCAACCAAGACCTGGACCTGACCAGGACCAGGACCAGGTGATGATTAGAAAAACCTGGTGTCACATGATCAGAGCTGTGTGTGTTTCAGAGCGGGTGAACTCTTACCCTCCTCCTGCAGTCCAAAGGAGCTGCGGCCAGTTCACGGGTCAGACCGGGTAAGACCAGGACCAGGACCAGAACCAGGACCAGAACCAGGACCAGAACCAGGACCAGAACTGGACCAGGACTGGTACTGAAGCTCCTCTCCGTCTGCAGACAGGGCCCTGTGATCGTGGATGATCAGGAGGTGTTTGAGGAGGCGCAGGAGCGCTTCCAGGAGCACACAGGACCAGGACAAGTCCAGACCGGCCTGGGACAGACCAGTCTTGGACAGGTGGACCTGGTTCACACCTGGACCAGAGGAGACGGACAGACCTTTGAGACCACAGCTCAGAGCAACGGTACGATTCATAATCACATGTTTATCTGGACACAAAACTCTGATAATTGACAAAGTGTGACATCACCACAGTGTGACATCACCACAGTGTGACATCACCACAATGTGACATCACCTCCGTGTGACATCACCTCAGTGTAACATCACCTCAGTGTGACATCACCACAGTGTGACATCACCACAGTGTGACATCACCACAGTGTGATTTGAACATAAGTTCCTTATGTGGCCTTTTGTTCTGAGACCGTTAGCTTCATTAAGCTAAGCTGGAGTTTTCAGCCCTCTGTGCGTTAGCATGTGACCTCTGACCTGTGTTGCAGCCCTCTGTGCGTTAGCATGTGACCTCTGACCTGTGTTAGCATGTGACCTCTGACCTGTGTTGCAGCTCTCTGTGCGTTAGCATGTGACCTCTGACCTGTGTTAGCATGTGACCTCTGACCTGTGTTGCAGCTCTCTGTGCGTTAGCATGTGACTTCTGACCTGTGTTAGCATGTGACCTCTGACCTGTGTTGCAGCTCTCTGTGCGTTAGCCGTAGACTCAGGGGTGCAGTGTGGTAACCCCGTGCGTCGCTGGTACTTTGCCGCGGCCTTCGGTGCTTGTGCCCCCTTCTGGTTCGGAGGCTGTGGGGGAAACGCTAACAGCTTTAGCACGGAGCATGAGTGTTTGAGGACGTGTGAGCGTAAGTGCATCCGCTCTAACCTGCAATGCACCAGCAACGCACCAGCAACTCACCAAATAGTACCACCACCAGACCATCAGCTAACCTGCTCACCAACTAGTACCACCACCAGACCATCAGCTAACCTGCTCACCAACTAGTACCACCATCAGACCCTCAACAAACCTACCAAACAGCTGGTTCATGGCGGGGGTTATGTGTTCTAAAAATATCATGGACTAGCAGCTGTTTCTAGCAAAAGAGAGACCAGAGAGAGAGACCAGAGAGAGAGCGAGACCAGAGAGAGAGAGACCAGAGATAGAGAGAGAGACCAGAGAGAGAGAGAGAGACCAGAGAGAGAGAGAGACCAGAGAGAGAGAGAGAGAGACCAGAGAGAGAGAGAGAGACCAGAGAGAGAGAGAGAGAGACCAGAGAGAGAGCGAGACCAGAGAGAGAGAGACCAGAGAGAGAGAGAGACCAGAGAGAGAGCGACCAGAGAGAGAGAGAGAGAGACCAGAGAGAGAGAGAGACCAGAGAGAGAGACCAGAGAGAGAGCGAGACCAGAGAGAGAGAGAGAGACCAGAAAGAGAGACCAGAGAGAGAGAAAGACCAGAGAAAGAGAGACCAGAGAGAGAGAGAGAGACCAGAGAGAGAGAGAGAGAGACCAGAGAAAGAGAGACCAGAGAGAGAAAGAGAGGCCAGAGAGAGAGAGAGAGACCAGAGAGAGAAAGAGAGACCAGAGAGAGAGTGAGAGACCAGAGAAAGAGAGACCAGAAAGAGAGAGAGAGACCAGAGAGAGAAAGAGAGACCAGAGAGAGACCATCGTCGAACCATTGTCTAACCATCGTCTAACCATCGTCTTACCATCGTCTTACCAACCCCATTAGTTTAAACCACTGAGCACCAGAAACACTAACCAACAATGGAAAGAAGACCAAACTCCAGGGGGTGGGGTCAGACTGGCCACACCTCTTCAGGGGGCGGGGTCAGTCTGGGGTGGATGGAGGTGGGGGTTGTTAAAAACTAGTTCTAAACTACAGTACCTGCAGTTCGAGTGGTGAGGAGTGACTGGGATTGAGCTGCTTCACATCGTTCCCAGTCACTTCTAAACTCACTGCTCGCACAAAGTGAGATTTATTGAAAGATAAACACACTTTCAACACACACGGAAAAGCCCAAAACTCGGTGAAGTTACACATTAACCACCTGTTGGACAACTTCTTGCCACATAGTTCACAAACACCACAATGTGGACAATTATTAACTCGGTTTAAGCGCCTGAGTCGTAGCTTTCCACAGTCGGATGTAGGTCAACACAAAAGTTACTTTATTATCTCTAGATTCACATTCATGTTAATGAAAACACAAACAACTCCATTATCAGGGTGGATGATGATGGGGGTGGGGGTGGATGATGGTGGGGGTGGGGGTGGATGATGATGGGGGTGAATGATGGTGGGTGTGGATGATGGTGGGGGTGAATGATGGTGGGTGTGGATGATGGTGGGGGTGAATGATGGTGGGTGTGGATGATGGTGGGGGTGAATGATGGTGGGTGTGGATGATGGTGGGGGTGAATGATGGTGGGGGTGGGGGTGGATGATGATGGGGGTGGGGGTGGATGATGGTGGGGGTGGATGATGATGGGGGTGGGGGAGTTTTTAGTTGGATCAAACTGATGTGAGTCCCGACGAGAACTTGCCTTTTGTGACGTCATCAGCGAAAAATTGCGGTTTTCTCGTCAACTTGACAAGCAGCTCTTGCTGATCCTGAATGAGCTCCTGCTGATCCTGAATGAGCTCCTGCTGATCCTGAATGAGCTCCTGCTGCTCCTGAATGAGCTCCTGCTGATCCTGAATGAGCTCCTGCTGATCCTGAATGAGCTCCTGCTGCTCCTGAATGAGCTCCTGCTGATCCTGAATGAGCTCCTGCTGATCCTGAATGAGCTCCTGCTGATCCTGAATGAGCCCCTGCTGATCCTGAACTCCATGTTTGAGGCTCACCTCAGGAGGAGGTGTTTGGATCCGGCTCGAAGGACCAGTCTGTGGACGCGGATTCTAACCACAGACGAAACCAGACTGAGACAGATTAGTTCTGACTCGCACCGAGATAGTGACTGAGATGGTTCTGACTGGTTCTGACTCGCACTGAGATAGTGACTGAGATGGTTCTGACTGGTTCTGACTCGCACCAAGATAGTGACTGAGATGGTTCTGACTGGTTCTGACTCGCACTGAGATAGTGACTGAGATGGTTCTGACTCGCACAGAGATAGTGACTGAGATGGTTCTGACTGGTTCTGACTCGCACCGAGATAGTGACTGAGATGGTTCTGACTGGTTCTGACTCGCACCGAGAAAGTGACTGAGATGGTTCTGACTGGTTCTGACTCGCACCGAGATAGTGACTGAGATGGTTCTGACTCGCACTGAGATAGTGACTGAGATGGTTCTGATTCGCACCGAGATAGTGACTGAGATGGTTCTGACTCGCACCCAGATAGTGACTGAGATGGTTCTGACGGGTTCTGACTCGCACTGAGATAGTGACTGAGATGGTTCTGACTCGCAACGAGAAAGAGACTGAGATGGTTCTGACTCGCACCGAGATAGTGACCGAGATGGTTCTGACTCGTACCGAGATAGTGACTGAGATGGTTCTGACTGGTTCTGACTCGCACCGAGATAGTGACTGAGATGGTTCTGACTGGTTCTGACTCGCACCGAGAAAGTGACTGAGATGGTTCTGACTGGTTCTGACTCGCACCGAGATAGTGACTGAGATGGTTCTGACTCGCACCGAGATAGTGACTGAGATGGTTCTGACTCGCACCGAGATAGTGACTGAGATGGTTCTGACTGGTTCTGACTCGCACCGAGACAGTGACTGAGATGGTTCTGACTGGTTCTGACACACACTGAGGTAGTGACTGAGATAGTTCTGACTCGCACCGAGATAGTGACTGAGATGGTTCTGACTCGCACCGAGATAGTGACTGAGATGGTTCTGACTGGTTCTGACTTGCACCGAGATAGTGACTGAGATGGTTCTGACTGGTTCTGACTCGCACCGAGATAGTGACTGAGATGGTTCTGACTGGTTCTGACTCGCACCGAGATAGTGACTGAGATGGTTCTGACTCGCACCGAGATAGTGACTGAGATGGTTCTGACTGGTTCTGACTCACACTGAGATAGTGACTGAGATGGTTCTGACTCGCACCGAGATAGTGACTGAGATGGTTCTGACTCGCACCGAGATAGTGACTGAGATGGTTCTGACTCGCACCGAGATAGTGACTGAGATGGTTCTGACTCGCACCGAGATAGTGACTGAGATGGTTCTGACTGGTTCTGACTCGCACCGAGAAAGTGACTGAGATGGTTCTGACTCGCACCGAGATAGTGACTGAGATGGTTCTGACTGGTTCTGACTCGCACTGAGATAGTGACTGAGATGGTTCTGACTGGTTCTGACTCGCACCGAGATAGTGACTGAGATGGTTCTGACTCGCACAGAGAAAGTGACTGAGATGGTTCTGACTCGCACTGAGATAGTGACTGAGATGGTTCTGACTGGTTCTGACTCGCACCGAGATAGTGACTGAGATGGTTCTGACTCGCACCGAGATAGTGACTGAGATGGTTCTGACTGGTTCTGACTCGCACCGAGAAAGTGACTGAGATGGTTCTGACTCGCACCGAGATAGTGACTGAGATGGTTCTGACTGGTTCTGACTCGCACTGAGATAGTGACTGAGATGGTTCTGACTGGTTCTGACTCGCACCGAGATAGTGACTGAGATAGTTCTGACTCGCACCGAGAAAGTGACTGAGATGGTTCTGACTCGCACTGAGATAGTGACTGAGATGGTTCTGACTGGGTCTGACTCGCACCGAGATAGTGACTGAGATGGTTCTGACTGGTTCTGACTCACACCAAGATAGTGACTGAGATGGTTCTGACTGGTTCTGACTCGCACCGAGATAGTGACTGAGATGGTTCTGACTCGCACCGAGATAGTGACTGAGATGATTCTGACTGGTTCTGACTCGCACCGAGAAAGTGACTGAGATGGTTCTGACTCGCACAGAGATAGTGACTGAGATAGTTCTGACTGGTTCTGACTCGCACTGAGATAGTGACTGAGATGGTTCTGACTGGTTCTGACTCGCACTGAGATAGTGACTGAGATGGTTCTGACTCGCACCGAGATAGTGACTGAGATGGTTCTGGCTGGTTCTGACTCGCACCGAGAAAGTGACTGAGATGGTTCTGACTGGTTCTGACTCGCACCGAGAAAGTGACTGAGATGGTTCTGACTGGTTCTGACTCGCACCGAGATAGTGACTGAGATGGTTCTGACTGGTTCTGACTCGCACCAAGATAGTGACTGAGATGGTTCTGACTGGTTCTGACTCGCACCGAGAAAGTGACTGAGATGGTTCTGACTCGCACAGAGATAGTGACTGAGATGGTTCTGACTGGTTCTGACTCGCACTGAGATAGTGACTGAGATGGTTCTGACTGGTTCTGACTCGCACTGAGATAGTGACTGAGATGGTTCTGACTCGCACCGAGATAGTGACTGAGATGGTTCTGACTGGTTCTGACTTGCACCGAGAAGTGACTGAGATGTTGGTTCTGACTGAGAGGTTCTGATGGTTCTGACTCGCACCGAGAAGTGACTGAGATGGTTCTGATGGTTCTGACTGCACGAGATAGTGACTGAGAGTGATGAGGTTGACTGGTTCTGACTCGCACCGACTGAGAAGTCTGACTGCGAGATGGTGTTCTGACTGGTTCTGACTCGCACCGTGAGATAGTGACTGAGATGGTTCTGACTGGTTCTGACTCGCACTGAGATAGTGACTGAGATGGTTCTGACTCGCACTGAGATAGTGACTGAGATGGTTCTGACTCGCACCGAGATAGTGACTGAGATGGGGCTGACTGGTTCTGACTCGCACCGAGATAGTGACTGAGATGGTTCTGACTCGCACTGAGATAGTGACTGAGATGGTTCTGACTGGGTCTGACTCGCACCGAGATAGTGACTGAGATGGTTCTGACTGGTTCTGACTCACACCAAGATAGTGACTGAGATGGTTCTGACTGGTTCTGACTCGCACCGAGATAGTGACTGAGATGGTTCTGACTCGCACCGAGATAGTGACTGAGATGGTTCTGACTGGTTCTGACTCGCACCGAGAAAGTGACTGAGATGGTTCTGACTCGCACAGAGATAGTGACTGAGATAGTTCTGACTGGTTCTGACTCGCACTGAGATAGTGACTGAGATGGTTCTGACTGGTTCTGACTCGCACTGAGATAGTGACTGAGATGGTTCTGACTCGCACCGAGATAGTGACTGAGATGGTTCTGGCTGGTTCTGACTCGCACCGAGAAAGTGACTGAGATGGTTCTGACTGGTTCTGACTCGCACCGAGAAAGTGACTGAGATGGTTCTGACTGGTTCTGACTCGCACCGAGATAGTGACTGAGATGGTTCTGACTGGTTCTGACTCGCACCAAGATAGTGACTGAGATGGTTCTGACTGGTTCTGACTCGCACCGAGAAAGTGACTGAGATGGTTCTGACTCGCACAGAGATAGTGACTGAGATGGTTCTGACTGGTTCTGACTCGCACTGAGATAGTGACTGAGATGGTTCTGACTGGTTCTGACTCGCACTGAGATAGTGACTGAGATGGTTCTGACTCGCACCGAGATAGTGACTGAGATGGTTCTGACTGGTTCTGACTTGCACCGAGAAAGTGACTGAGATGGTTCTGACTGGTTCTGACTCGCACCGAGAAAGTGACTGAGATGGTTCTGACTGGTTCTGACTCGCACCGAGATAGTGACTGAGATGGTTCTGACTGGTTCTGACTCGCACTGAGATAGTGACTGAGATGGTTCTGACTCGCACTGAGATAGTGACTGAGATGGTTCTGACTCGCACCGAGATAGTGACTGAGATGGTTCTGACTGGTTCTGACTCGCACCGAGATAGTGACTGAGATGGTTCTGACTCGCACCGAGATAGTGACTGAGATGGTTCTGACTCGCACCGAGAAAGTGACTGAGATGGTTCTGACTCGCACTGAGATAGTGACTGAGATGGTTCTGACTTGCACAGAGAAAGTGACTGAGATGGTTCTTACTGGTTCTGACTCGCACCGAGATTGTGACTGAGATGGTTCTGACTCGCACTGAGATAGTGACTGAGATGGTTCTGACTCGCACCGAGAAAGTGACTGAGATGGTTCTGACTGGTTCTGACTCGCACCGAGAAAGTGACTGAGATGGTTCTGACTCGCACTGAGATAGTGACTGAGATGGTTCTGACTGGTTCTGACTCGCACTGAGATAGTGACTGAGATAGTTCTGACTGGTTCTGACTCGCACTGAGATAGTGACTGAGATGGTTCTGACTGGTTCTGACTCGCACCGAGATAGTGACTGAGATGGTTCTGACTGGTTCTGACTCGCACCGAGATAGTGACTGAGATGGTTCTGACTCGCACCGAGATAGTAACTGAGATTGTTCTGACTGGTTCTGACTCGCACCGAGAAAGTGACTGAGATGGTTCTGACTGGTTCTGACTCGCACCGAGAAAGTGACTGAGATGGTTCTGACTGGTTCTGACTCGCACTGAGATAGTGACTGAGATGGTTCTGACTCGCACCGAGATAGTGACTGAGATGGTTCTGACTGGTTCTGACTCGCACCGAGAAAGTGACTGAGATGGTTCTGACTGGTTCTGACTCGCACCGAGAAAGTGACTGAGATCGTTCTGACTCGCACCAAGATAGTGACTGAGATGGTTCTGTCTCGCACCAAGATAGTGACTGAGATGGTTCTGACTGGTTCTGACTCGCACTGAGATAGTGACTGAGATGGTTCTGACTCGCACCGAGATAGTGACTGAGATGGCTCTGACTGGTTCTGACTCGCACCGAGATAGTGACTGAGATGGTTCTGACTGGTTCTGACTCGCACTGAGATAGTGACTGAGATGGTTCTGACTCGCACCGAGATAGTGACTGAGATGGTTCTGACTGGTTCTGACTCGCACCGAGAAAGTGACTGAGATGGTTCTGACTCGCACTGAGATAGTGACTGAGATGGTTCTGACTGGTTCGGACTCGCACCGAGATAGTGACTGAGATGGTTCTGACTGGTTCTGACTCGCACCGAGAAAGTGACTGAGATGGTTCTGACTGGTTCTGACTCGCACTGAGATAGTGACTGAGATGGTTCTGACTAGCACTGAGATAGTGACCGAGATAGTGACTGAGATGGCTCTGACTAGTTCTGACTCGCACCGAGATAGTGACTGAGATGGTTCTGACTCGCACCGAGATAGTGACTGAGATGGTTCTGACTGGTTCTGACTCGCACCGAGATAGTGACTGAGATGGTTCTGACTCGCACCGAGATAGTGACTGAGATGGCTCTGACTGGTTCTGACTCGCACCGAGATAGTGACTGAGATGGTTCTGACTGGTTCTGACTCGTACTGAGATAGTGACTGAGATGGTTCTGACTCGCACCGAGATAGTGACTGAGATGGTTCTGACTGGTTCTGACTCGCACCGAGAAAGTGACTGAGATGGTTCTGACTCGCACTGAGATAGTGACTGAGATGGTTCTGACTGGTTCTGACTCGCACCGAGATAGTGACTGAGATGGTTCTGACTGGTTCTGACTCGCACCGAGATAGTGACTGAGATGGTTCTGACTGGTTCTGACTCGCACTGAGATAGTGACTGAAATGGTTCTGACTCGCACCGAGATAGTGACTGAGATGGTTCTGACTGGTTCTGACTCGCACTGAGATAGTGACTGAGATGGTTCTGACTGGTTCTGACTCGCACTGAGATAGTGACTGAAATGGTTCTGACTCGCACCGAGATAGTGACTGAGATGGTTCTGACTGGTTCTGACTCGCACCGAGATAGTGACTGAGATGGTTCTGACTCGCACCGAGATAGTGACTGAGATGGTTCTGACTCGCACTGAGATAGTGACTGAGATGGTTCTGACTGGTTCTGACTCGCACCGAGATAGTGACTGAGATGGTTCTGACTGGTTCTGACTCGCACCGAGATAGTGACTGAGATGGTTCTGACTGGTTCTGACTCGCACTGAGATAGTGACTGAAATGGTTCTGACTCGCACCGAGATAGTGACTGAGATGGTTCTGACTGGTTCTGACTCGCACTGAGATAGTGACTGAGATGGTTCTGACTGGTTCTGACTCGCACTGAGATAGTGACTGAAATGGTTCTGACTCGCACCGAGATAGTGACTGAGATGGTTCTGACTGGTTCTGACTCGCACCGAGATAGTGACTGAGATGGTTCTGACTCGCACCGAGATAGTGACTGAGATGGTTCTGACTCGCACCGAGATAGTGACTGAGATGGTTCTGACTGGTTCTGACTCGCACCGAGATAGTGACTGAGATGGTTCTGACTTGCACTGAGATAGTGACTGAGATGGTTCTGACTGGTTCTGACTCGCACCGAGATAGTGACTGAGATGGTTCTGACTCGCACTGAGATAGTGACTGAGATGGTTCTGACTGGTTCTGACTCGCACCGAGAAAGTGACTGAGATGGTTCTGACTGGTTCTGACTCGCACCGAGATAGTGACTGAGATGGTTCTTACTGGTTCTGACTCGCACCGAGATAGTGACTGAGATGGTTCTGACTGGTTCTGACTCGCACCGAGATAGTGACTGAGATGGTTCTGACTCGCACCAAAATAGTGACTGAGATGGTTCTGACTGGTGGTTCTGACTCGCACCGAGATAGTGACTGAGATGGTTCTGACTCGCACCGAGATAGTGACTGAGATGGTTCTGACTCGCACCGATATAGTGACTGAGATGGTTCTGACTGGTTCTGACTCGCACCGAGATAGTGACTGAGATGGTTCTGACTCGCACCGAGATAGTGACTGAGATGGTTCTGACTCGCACCGAGATAGTGACTGAGATGGTTCTGACTCGCACCGAGATAGTGATTGAGATGGTTCTGACTGGTTCTGACTCGCACTGAGATAGTGACTGAGATGGTTCTGACTCGCACTGAGATAGTGACTGAGATGGTTCTGACTGGTTCTGACTCGCACCGAGAAAGTGACTGAGATGGTTCTGACTGGTTCTAACTCGTACCGAGATAGTGACTGAGATGGTTTTTACTGGTTCTGACTCGCACCGAGATAGTGACTGAGATGGTTCTGACTGGTTCTGACTCGCACCGAGATAGTGACTGAGATGGTTCTGACTGGCACCGAGATAGTGACTGAGATGGTTCTGACTGGTGGTTCTGACTCGCACCGAGATATAGACTGAGATGAGATGGTTCTCGCACCGAGATAGTGACTGAGAGATGGTTCTGACTCGCACCGATATAGTGACTGAGATGGTTCTGACTGTTCTGACTCGCACCGAGATAGTGACTGAGATGGTTCTGACTCGCACTGAGATAGATAGTGACTGAGATGGTTCTGACTCGCACCGAGATAGTGACTGAGATGGTTCTGACTCGCACCGAGATAGTGACTGAGATGGTTCTGACTGGTTCTGACTCGCACTGAGATAGTGACTGAGATGGTTCTGACTCGCACTGAGATAGTGACTGAGATGGTTCTGACTCGCACCGAGATAGTGACTGAGACGGTTCTGACTGGTTCTGACTCGCACCGAGATAGTGACTGAGATGGTTCTGACTCGCACTGAGATAGTGACTGAGATGGTTCTGACTGGTTCTGACTCGCACCGAGATAGTGACTGAGATGGTTCTGACTCGCACCGAGATAGTGACTGAGATGGTTCTGACTCGCACCGAGATAGTGACTGAGATGGTTCTGACTCGCACCGAGATAGTGACTGAGATGGTTCTGACTGGTTCTGACTCGCACCGAGATAGTGACTGAGATAGTTCTGACTGATTCTGACTCGCACCGAGATAGAGACTGAGATGGTTCTGACTCGCACCGAGATAGTGACCGAGATAGTGACTGAGATGGTTCTGACTGGTTCTGACTCGCACCGAGATAGTGACTGAGATGGTTCTGACTGGTTCTGACTCGCACTGAGAAAGTGACTGAGATGGTTCTGACTCGCACCGAGATAGTGACTGAGATGGTTCTGACGCACTGAGAAAGTGACTGAGATGGTTCTGACTCGCACCGAGATTGTGACTGAGATGGTTCTGACTGGTTCTGACTCGCACCGAGATAGTGACTGAGATGGTTCTGACTCGCACCGAGATAGTGACTGAGATGGTTCTGACTCGCACCGAGATAGTGACCGAGATAGTGACTGAGATGGTTCTGACTGGTTCTGACTCGCACCGAGATAGTGACTGAGATGGTTCTGACTGGTTCTGACTCGCACTGAGAAAGTGACTGAGATGGAGTGATGAAAGTGTTGCTCTGCTTCTTTATTGAAAGATAAAATCACAGCTCGAGACAATTTAACAACGCTCTCCGGTTCAGGACCATGTTCTCTGTGTCCACAAGTGTATCCACAGGTGCCTGTGCTCTGCTTCAGGTCCATGTTCTCTGTGTCCACAGGTGTATCCACAGGTGTATCCACAGGTGCCTGTGCGCTGGAGCAGGATCCCGGCGGTTGCTCCGATTACTCCATGATGTGGTTTTATGACTCGCTGCAAAGAGAATGTTCCCGTTTCTGGTTCGGAGGTTGCGGAGGAAACGCAAACAGGTTCAAGACTCAGCAGGAGTGTGAGGCGCTGTGTGTGGGTGCCAGGTAGGACCAGCAACCGGACCAGCAACAAGAACCAGCAACAGGACCAGAACCTCACTGTCCTCACACGACGAGGACAAAGAAACTGTCCATTAGAACCATATGGACCTGGAAACCTTACCAACTTTACTCACTGTCTCTGTTTTATTCTTTGATTCAAATAAGTCCACATTGGCCCGGTCTGGTCCACATTGGCTGATTGGGACCAGATTGGCCCAGTTAAGTCCACATTGGCCTGGTTAGGTCAACAGTGGTCCGGTCTTGGTGCTTTACTAAAGTTTGTCTTTTGTCACTTTTTACAATAAAGTTATTTGTGTTGAATGTACTGTTTTTACGGGTTAAAAATAAAAAAGAAACTGTGGAAACAAACGTGTGGTTTTTCTAAAGGTCAGAGGTCACAGGTCTCAAGTCAGAGGTCTCAGGTCAGAGGTCTCAAGTTAGAGGTCTCAGGTCAGAGGTCTCAAGTCAGAGGTCTCAGGTCAGAGGTTAGAGGTCTCAGGTCAGAGGTCTCAAGTCAGGTCAGAGGTCTCAGGTCAGAGGTCTCAGGTCAGAGGTCTCAGGTCAGAGGTCACAGGTCAGAGGTCTCAAGTCAGAGGTCACAAGTCAGAGGTCTCAGGTCAGAGGTCTCAAGTCAGAGGTCTCAAGTCAGAGGTCACAAGTCAGAAGTCTCAAGTCAGAGGTCAGAGGTTGGATCAAAATAAAGACAAATGAAACAGTATGTGATATGTTTATTATAACATCAGTATTTATGACACTTTTTTTTTTACAAAAATAAGAGTTCTGTCCAATCAGAGACCAGGCCCTCAGAGGCCCCGGTCTGAGGCCCTGGTCTGAGGGCCTCACTTCCACACCTTGACGATGCCGTCCCTGGAGGCCGTGACGATGAAGCCCTGTGTGGTCTGGAAGGTGGCGATGTCAGTGATGATGTCGTGGTGTCCCACTGGGAGGGCATCAGGCCCTCTGCGGGGCCCGTCCTCCACACACCCACTCTTCTGCTTCGAATGGATCTCCTGCAACAGACTAGTAGGTCTAAAGCAGGTCTAAAGCAGGTCTAAAGCAGGTCTAAAGCAGGTCTAAAGCAGGTCTAAAGCAGGACTAAAGCAGGTCTAAAGCAGGACTAAAGCAGGTCTAAAGCAGGTCTAAAGCAGGACTAAAGCAGGTCTAAAGCAGGTCTAAAGCAGGACTAAAGCAGGTCTAAAGCAGGTCTAAAGCAGGACTAAAGCAGGTCTAAAGCAGGTCTAAAGCAGGACTAAAGCAGGTCTAAAGCAGGTCTAAAGCAGGACTAAAGCAGGTCTAAAGCAGGTCTAAAGCAGGACTAAAGCAGGACTAAAGCAGGACTAAAGTAGGACTAAAGCAGGACTAAAGCAGGTCTTAATCAGGACTAAGGTCTCACCTGGACCACCTCAGTCCCCTCGATGATCTTGCGGTTGTACATCACAGACGGACAGTGGAGAGAGTCGTGAGCTCCTCCAGCAACAATGTACGAGCGCTCAGGGTAAGCTAGGTCCCAGAACCTGAGACCAGACCAGAGTTAGACCAGAGAGAGAGACCAGGGAGAGAGACCAGGGAGAGAGACCAGGGATAGAGACCAGAGCGAGACCAGAGAGAGAGACCAGGGAGAGAGACCAGAGAGAGAGACCAGAGAGAGAGACCAGAGAGAGAGACCAGAGAGAGAGACCAGGGAGAGAGACCAGAGAGAGAGACCAGAGAGAGAGACCAGAGAGAGAGACCAGAGAGAGACCAGAGAGAGATCAGAGAGAGAGGAGAGAGACCAGAGAGAGACCAGAGAGAGATCAGAGAGAGAGACCAGAGAGAGAGAGAGAGAGATCAGAGAGAGAGACCAGAGAGAGACCAGAGAGAGAGACCAGAGAGAGACCAGAAAGACACCAGAGAGAGAGACCAGAGAGAAACCAAAGAGAGACCAGAGAGAGACCAGAGAGAGAGACCAGAGAGAGACCAGAGAGAGAGACCAGAGAGACAACAGAGAGAGAGACCAGAGAGAAAGCAGAGAGAGACCAGAGAGAAAGACCAGAGAGAGAGACCAGAGAGAGAGACCAGAGAGAGAGACCAGAGAGAGAGACCAGAGAGAGAGACCAGAGAGAGACCAGAGAGAGAGACCAGAGAGAGACCAGAGAGAGAGACCAGACTGACCTGATCCTCATGTCTGAGCCGGCGGTCAGCAGAAGTGGGTTCCCATCGGCTGGACTGCAGTAAACTCCATGGACACTGTGAGGAGAGGGCTGAGAGACAGAACTGGGTCAGAACTGGGTCAGACCTGGGCCAGGACCAGGGCCAGACCAAGACCAGGGCCAGACCAGGACCGGACCAGGATCTGACCAGGGCCGGACCAGGGCCGAACCAGGACTGGACTCACCTGCAGCTCAGATAGCGGGGGGGCGGAGCTTGCCCACAAGGTGAACTTCCTGTCTCCAGTCTCCATGTCCCACATCGACACTTCATTATTTCCCTGGACCGCTGCAGAGAGAGAGAGGGTGAGAGGGGGAGGATGGGGAGAGAGGGAGGAGGGGGGGAGAAAGGGGAAAGAGGAGGAGAGAGGGGGGTATAAAGAGCAAGTAAGGAGGAGAACAGAGAGGAGGGGTGTGAGGGATCACACACAGTCACACAGAGCCACACACAGAGCCACACACAGAGCCACACACAGAGCCACCACACAGAGCCACACACAGAGCCACACACAGAGTCACACACAGAGTCACACACAGAGTCACACACAGAGTCACACACAGAGTCACACACAGAGTCACACACAGAGCCACACACAGAGCCACACACAGAGCCACACACAGAGCCACACACGGAGCCACACACGGAGCCACACACGGAGCCACACACGGAGCCACACACGGAGCCACACACGGAGCCACACACGGAGCCACACACGGAGCCACACACGGAGCCACACACAGAGCCACACAGAGTCACACAGAGCCACACACAGAGCCACACACAGAGCCACACACAGAGCCACACACAGAGCCACACACAGAGCCACACACAGAGTCACACGGAGTCACACGGAGCCACACGGAGCCACACGGAGCCACACACGGAGCCACACAGAGCCACACAGAGTCACACAGAGTCACACACAGAGCACACAGATCCACACACAGAGTCACACACAGAGCCACACAGAGTCACACAGTCGACCATCCAGTGGAACCCCCTTGTAACGCCCCACCTCAACCTCAAGGGGCAGCACTCCTGCTCTGAGCTGAGCACAGAGACCTCTGCCCTTACTACTGCAGTTACTACAGGTACTACTGCAGGTACTACTACAGATACTACAGGTACTACTGCAGTTACTACAGGTAGTACTGCAGTAGTACCTGTGCTCAGTCTTTGCTGCCACAGTTGTACTTCCCTGTGTGTCCTGTAGGAGGCGTCTGTCGGAGCAGCTGGCTCAGACCCCGTCCTCCTTCAGGAAGGACCCAGAGGATCCATCTGCTGTGGCCCTCAAGGAACCATGGACCGAGAAAGTCCGGTACTAGGCCTGAACCAGACCTGAACCAGACCAGACAAGGGACCAGACCAAAGACAAGACCAGAGACCAGACCAGTTAATTTAGTCCCAGTCTATAACCAGTCTCTCTTTTCCCGTTCTCTGTCTTGCAAGAGGATCCGGGATGTGTCCTGTCTGTCTCTCTTAGTCCCGGTCTATAACCGGTCTATAACTGGTCTCTCTCTTGCAGGAGGATCCGGTCCCTGTCTGTCTCTCTTAGTCCCGGTCTATAACCGGTCTATAACCGGTCTCTGTCTTGCAGGAGGATCCGGGACGTGTCCCCGTACGGACACCTTCCGTCCTGGAGACTTCTGTCGGTGATCGTGAAGTGTGGAGACGACCTCAGGCAGGAGCTGCTCGCGTCACAGGTTCTACAGGTCCTACAGGTGAGACCAGGGGAGACCAGGGACCAGGTGAGACCGACCAGGGACCAGGTGAGACCAGGGGAGACAGGGGACCAGATAAGACCAGGGACCAGATGAGACCAGTGACCAGGTGAGACCAGGGGAGACCAGATGAGACCAGGGGAGACCAGGGACCAGATGAGACCAGGGACCAGGTGAGACCAGGGACCAGGGGACCAGGTGAGGTCAGGGGACCAGGTGAGACCAGGGACCAGGTGGGACCAAGGGAGACCAGGGACCAGGTGAGACAGGGGACCAGGTGAGACCAGGGACCAGATGGGACCAGGTGAGACCAGGGACCAGGTGACACCAGGGACCAGATGAGACCAGGGACCAAGGGAGACCAGGGACCAGGTGAGACCAGGGACCAGGTGAGACCAGGGACCAGGTGGGACCAAGGGAGACCAGGGACCAGGTGAGACCAGGGACCAGGTGAGACCAGGGGACCAGGTGAGGTCAGGGGACCAGGTGAGACCAGGGACCAGATGAGACCAGGGACCAGGTGGGACCAAGGGAGACCAGGGACCAGGTGAGACCAGGGACCAGGTGAGACAGGGGACCAGGTGAGACCATGGACCAGGTGAGACCATGGACCAGGTGAGACCATGGACCAGGTGAGACCAGGGACCAGGTGAGACAGGGGACCAGGTTAGACCAGGGACCAGGTGAGACCAGATGGGACCAGGTGAGACCAGGGACCAGATGAGACCAGAGACCAGGTGGGACCAAGGGAGACCAGGGACCAGGTGAGACAGGGGACCAGGTGAGACCAGGGACCAGGTGAGACCAGGGATCAGGGAGAGACCAGGTGAGACCAGAGAGAGACCAATGACATGGTGTCTGTGTCAGTTCTAAGGCAGCTCTAAGACAGCTCTAAGACAGCTCTAAGGCAGCTCTAAGACAGCTCTAAGGCAGCTCTAAGACAGCTCTAAGGCAGCTCTAAGACAGCTCTAAGACAGCTCTAAGGCAGCTCTAAGTCGGCTCTAAGGCGGCTCTACCCTGTGTGCAGAGCGTGTGGCAGCAGGAGCGGGTGCCCCTGTGGATTAAGCCGTACCGGATCCTGGTTCTGTCGTCGGACTCGGGGATGATTGAGCCGGTCCTGAACGCTGTGTCTCTGCACCAGATTAAGAAGCAGAACCCTGTGTCTCTGATGGACTTCATGGTCCAGGAACATGGTCCTCAGACCAGCGAGGGCTTCCTGAGCGCACAGAGGAGCTTCGTCCAGTCCTGCGCTGGGTACTCGCTGGTCTGCTACCTGCTGCAAGTCAAGGACAGGTCTGTCTCTGGTCTCTCTCTGGTCTCTCTCTCTGGTCTCTCTCTGGTCTCTCTCTCTGGTCTCTCTCTCTGGTCTCTCTCTCAGGTCTCTCTCTCTGGTCTCTCTCTCTGGTCTCTCTCTCTGGTCTCTCTCTCTGGTCTCTCTCTCAGGTCTCTCTCTGGTCTCTCTCTGGTTTCTCTCTGGTCTCTCTCTCTGGTCTCTCTCTCTGGTCTCTCTCTGGTCTCTCTCTCTGGTCTCCCTCTGGTCTCTCTCTGGTCTCTCGCTGGTCTTCCTCTGCTCTCTGGTCTCCCTCTGGTCTCTAGTCTCTCACATGGTCCCTCTGTGTTGCAGACACAATGGTAACATCTTGTTGGACTCTGAAGGACACATCATCCACATAGACTTTGGCTTCATCCTCTCCAGCTCTCCCAAGAACCTGGGCTTCGAGACCTCTGCCTTCAAGCTGACCGCAGAGTTCGTGGAGGTGAGGGACCATGTGGAGACCATATTGCCTCTGCTCCTGTCTCTTGTCCTGGTCTAACCCTGGTCTCTTGTCCTGGTCTTACCATGATATCTGATCTCTGGTCCTGGTCCTGGTCTCACCCTGGTCTCTGGTCTCTGGTCCTGGTCTCACCCTGGTCTCTGGTCTCCTCAGGTGATGGGAGGACCAGATGGAGACATGTTTAATTACTACAAGTTGCTGATTCTTCAGGGTTTGATCGCTGCTCGAAAACATATGGACAAAGTTCTACAGATCGTGGAGATCATGCAGCAAGGTACAGACCTGTCTCTGGTCTCTCTCTGGTCTCTCCCTGGTCTCCCTCTGGTCTCTCTCTGGTCTCTCTCTGGTCTCTCACTGGTCTCCCCATGGTCCCTCCCTGGTCCATAACCAGTCTCTCTCTGGTCTTAGGGTCTCAGCTGGCCTGTTTCCATGGCAGCAGTACTCTTCGGACTCTGAAGGAGAGATTCCACATGAACCAGACTGAGGACCAGCTTCAGGACCTGGTCCAGGCTCTGGTCCAAGGATCCATGAGGTCCCTGACCACCCGGCTCTACGATGGCTTCCAATACCTGACCAATGGCATCATGTAGACCGGGTCTGAACCAGGACTAAACCGGAACTAAACCAATCAAGTAGCTGTTGACAGTGAATTCTATGCAAACTAGGTCTGGACCAGGTCTGACCAAAGACTTTGATAAACTTTTTCCCTCAGAGTGGACACACCCATACACACACAGTGGTGATACTGATCGGACTAGCCTAGCATTAGCCTAGCACTAGCCTAGCATTAGCCTAGTATTAGCCTAGCATCACAAACGGCTTGAATGAAACAGTGTTAACATTATTTTTGTGTTTATTTATATTTTAAATAATGATCATTTACATTTAATCTGTTTTTATGAAACTGGAAGATTAGAGCTCACCCTCCTCAGATTAGAGCTCACCCCAGATTAGAGCTCGCCTCAGATTAGAGCTCTCCCTCCTCAGATTATAGCTCTCCCTCCTCAGATTAGATCTCTACCTCCTCAGATTAGAGCTCTACCTCCTCAGATTAGAGCTCTCCCTCCTCAGATTTGGGCTCTCCTCAGATTAGAGCTCTCCCACCTCAGATTAGAGCTCTCCTCAGATTAGAGCTCTCCCACCTCAGATTAGAGCTTTCCTCAGATTAGAGCTCTCCCTCCTCAGATTTGGGCTCTCCTCAGATTAGAGCTCTCCCACCTCAGATTAGAGCTATCCTCAGATTAGAGCTCTCCTCAGATTAGAGCTCTCCTCAGATGAATTCATTTGTTGTGATGTATTTCTGCATAAATAATGTTTAAAGAACATAAACCTGTGACTGAAGCGTTGGATTGTTCACTTGTTATACTTGGTTGCTATTGTAACGTCAGCTCTAATGTAGCTCTAATGTAGCTCTAAGGTCAGCTCTCATGTAGCTCTGATGTAGCTCTAAGGTCAGCTCTAATGTAGCTCTGATGTAGCTCTAAGGTCAGCTCTCATGTAGCTCTGATGTAGCTCTAAGGTCAGCTCTGATGTAGCTCTAATGTGTGACTCGGGTCTAAACCTTTTCTGACTCAGACGTTTTTAATGAAGAGTGTAGAGTGCAGTACACAGAGCGGCCAGCAGAGGGGGCGCTGCTCCACAACAACACGGAGAACAACGGCTCTTCATTCATTCATCATGTATGACACTAAACACACACACATATCTGCAGATACACACACATACATATACACACACACACACACACACAGATACACACACACATATACACACACACAGATACACACACACACACACACACACACACACAGATACACACACACATATACACAGACACACACAGATACAGACATACACACACACACATACAGACACACAGACACACACTTCTGTATTTTATGGTAAATCACCAGTTTTTGATCCAGAAAATATGAAAGTGAAGATGAAAGGTGTGGTTTCCATGGCAACGAGTCTGTCTCTAATTTAACTTTGTGTCCAATAGCTAAACCAGGACTAAAGCAGGACTAAAGCAGGTCTAAATCAGGTCTAAATCAGGTCTAAAGCAGGTCTAAAGCAAGACTAAAGCAGGTCTAAATCAGGACTAAAGTAGGACTAGAGCAGGACTAGAGCAGGACTAGAGCGGTTCTAAAGCAGGTCTAAAGCAGGACTAAAGCAGGACTACAGCAGGACTAAAGCAGGACTAAAGCAGGTCTAAAGCAGGACTAAAGCAGGTCTAAAGCAGGTCTAAAGCAGGTCTAAAGCAGGACTAAAGCAGGTCTAAAGCAGGTCTAAAGCAGGACTAAAGCAGGTCTAAAGCAGGACTAAAGCAGGTCTAAAGCAGGTCTAAAGCAGGACTAAAGCAGGTCTAAAGCAGGTCTAAAGCAGGACTAAAGCAGGTCTAAACCAGGACTAAAGCAGGTCTAGAGCAGGTCTAGAGCAGGTCTAGAGCAGGTCTAGAGCAGGACTAGAGCAAGACTAGAGCAAGACTAGAGCAGGACTAAAGCAGGTCTAAAGCAGGTCTAAAGCAGGACTAAAGCAGGTCTAAAGCAGGACTAAAGCAGGACTAAAGCAGGTCTAAAGCAGGTCTAAATCAGGTCTAAAGCAGTACTAAAGCAGTACTAAAGCAGGTCTAAAGCAGGACTAAAGCAGGTCTAAAGCAGGTCTAAATCAGGACTAAAGCAGGTCTAAAGCAGGACCTGAGCAGGACTAGAGCAGGACTAAAGCAGGTCTAAAGCAGGACTAAAGCAGGTCTAAAGCAGGTCTAAAGCAGGTCTAAAGCAGGACTAAAGCAGGACTAAAGCAGGTCTAAAGCAGGACTAAAGCAGGCCTAAAGCAGGCCTAAAGCAGGACTAAAGCAGGTCTAAAGCAGGTCTAAAGCAGGACTAAAGCAGGTCTAAAGCAGGACTAAAGCAGGACTAAAGCAGTACTAAAGCAGGTCTAAAGCAGGTCTAAAGCAGGACTAAAGCAGGTCTAAAGCAGGTCTAAAGCAGGTCTAAAGCAGGTCTAAAGCAGGACTAAAGCAGGACTAAAGCAGGACTAAAGCAGGTCTAAAGCAGGACTAAAGCATTTCTAAAGCAGGTCTAAAGCAGGTCTAAAGCAGGTCTAAAGCAGGACTAAAGCAGGTCTAAAGCAGGTCTAAAGCAGGACTAAAGCAGGTCTAAAGCAGGACTAAAGCAGGTCTAAAGCAGGTCTAAAGCAGGTCTAAAGCAGGTCTAAAGCAGGACTAAAGCAGGTCTAAAGCAGGACTAAAGCAGGTCTAAAGCAGGTCTAGAGCAGGTCTAGAGCAGGACTAGAGCAGGACTAGAGCAGGACTAAAGCAGGTCTAAAGCAGGACTAAAGCAGGTCTAAAGCAGGACTAAAGCAGGTCTAAAGCAGGACTAAAGCAGGTCTAAAGCAGGTCTAAATCAGGTCTAAAGCAGTACTAAAGCAGTACTAAAGCAGGTCTAAAGCAGGACTAAAGCAGGTCTAAAGCAGGTCTAAATAAGGACTAAAGCAGGTCTAAAGCAGGACCTGAGCAGGACTAGAGCAGGACTAAAGCAGGTCTAAAGCAGGACTAAAGCAGGTCTAAAGCAGGTCTAAAGCAGGTCTAAAGCAGGACTAAAGCAGGAGTAAAGCAGGTCTAAAGCAGGACTAAAGCAGGCCTAAAGCAGGCCTAAAGCAGGACTAAAGCAGGTCTAAAGCAGGTCTAAAGCAGGACTAAAGCAGGTCTAAAGCAGGACTAAAGCAGGACTAAAGCAGTACTAAAGCAGGTCTAAAGCAGGTCTAAAGCAGGACTAAAGCAGGTCTAAAGCAGGTCTAAAGCAGGTCTAAAGCAGGTCTAAAGCAGGACTAAAGCAGGACTAAAGCAGGTCTAAAGCAGGACTAAAGCATTTCTAAAGCAGTACTAAAGCAGGTCTAAAGCAGGACTAAAGCAGGTCTAAAGCAGGTCTAAAGCAGGACTAAAGCATTTCTAAAGCAGTACTAGGGGAAGGTCTAAAGCAGGTCTAAAGCAGGACTAAAGCAGTACTAAAGCAGGTCTAAAGCAGGTCTAAAGCAGGACTAAAGCAGGACTAAAGCAGGTCTAAAGCAGGTCTAAAGCAGGTCTAAAGCAGGACTAAAGCAGGACTAAAGCAAGACTAAAGCAGGTCTAAAGCAGGACTAAAGCATTTCTAAAGCAGTACTAAAGCAGGTCTAAAGCAGGACTAAAGCATTTCTAAAGCAGTACTAAAGCAGGTCTAAAGCAGGACTAAAGCAGGTCTAAAGCAGGACTAAAGCAGTACTAAAGCAGGTCTAAAGCAGGACTAAAGCAGGACTAAAGCAGGTCTAAAGCAGGTCTAAAGCAGGTCTAAAGCAGGTCTAAAGCAGGTCTAAAGCAGGACTAAAGCAGGACTAAAGCAGGTCTAAAGCAGGACTAAAGCAGGACTAAAGCAGGACTAAAGCAGTACTAAAGCAGGTCTAAAGCAGGTCTAAAGCAGGTCTAAAGCAGGACTAAAGCAGGTCTAAAGCAGGACTAAAGCAGGTCTAAAGCAGGTCTAAAGCAGGACTAAAGGATTATCACTCCTTCCACTTGAGTTTTTCATCTATTTCTTTAATTCTAATAAAAATCTTCAAATAAAGGGGTTTCTCCATTGCCATGGAAACAAGATCTAATAACTTTACACACACACAGGTCAGCTCTATGTTAAAGATTGAGAGAGCTCCATAAATAAAATAAAAGGTTGAATCTTCTCCCTGAGAGACCAGAGAGAGACCAGAGAGAGACCAGAGAGAGACCAGAGAGAGACCAGAGAGAGACCAGAGAGAGACCAGAGAGAGACCAGAGAGAGACCAGAGAGAGACCAGAGAGAGAGAGACCAGAGAGAGACCAGAGAGAGACCAGAGAGAGACCAGAGAGAGAGACCAGAAAGAGACCAGAGAGAGAGACCAGAGAGAGAGACCAGAAAGAGAGACCAGAGAGAGACCAGAGAGAGACTGTGTTTGTACTCCTTGTACAGTCTGACAGCTAAGTTCCAAAGGGAAATGCGACTCAGAGAATCAGAGAAAGTTTTTATTCAAGATTCAAGCCTCACAGTTTCATGTTCAGCAAATGAGACATTTAAGACACGGACCAGAGGGAGACCAGAGGGAGACCAGAGAGAGACCAGAGAGAGACCAGAGGGAGACCAGATGGAGACCGGAGGGAGACCAGAGAGAGACCAGAGAGAGAGACCAGAGAGAGAGACCAGAGAGAGAGACCAGAGAGAAAGACCAGAGAGAGAGACCAGAGAGAGACAGCGCCCCCTCAGGAGGATGTGGGCGGGGCTTAGAGAAAGGCTTTGGTGATTGACAGTTTAGACAAAAATAGAACATTTTTTTCTCGTACAAATAAATAAAAACTTTGTGCTTTTATTTTTGTGCTCAGAATGACATCATCGTCATGGAGACAGGAACGAGGGACACACATGGTCACAGAGAGGAAGTGACAGGAGGGACCAGAGGCCACACATGGTACTGCAGCCTAGACCCACCGGGACCAGAGGCCACACATGGTACTGCAGCCTAGACCCACCGGGACCAGAGGCCACACATGGTACTGCAGCCTAGACCCACGGGGAACAGAGGCCACACGTGGTACAGCAGCCTAGACCCACTGGGACCAGAGGCCACACATGGTACTGCAGCCTAGACCCACCGGGACCAGAGGCCACACATGGTACTGCAGCCTAGACCCACTGGGACCAGAGGCCACACATGGTACTGCAGCCTAGTCCCACTGGGACCAGACGCCACACATGGTAAATGCAGCCTAGACCCACTGGGACCAGAGGCCACACATGGTACTGCAGCCTAGTCCCACTAGGACCAGAGGCCACACATGGTACTGCAGCCTCAGACCTCAGTGTCACTAAAGCATCTGGTCCTCAGAGGCAGTGGCTCTGTAGTTTGGGCCTGCAGTAACACAGTTTGCATGTTCTTCCCATCACTTCACACAGACAGAGGCACGCGGCGGCCTCCAGGGGGCGACAGAGGCCGATACTGATCAATTGTGCTTTTGTTCTACCACAGACTGAGCATGCTCCAAGACTTCTACAGAGAGCTATACTATAACCAGAAACACAAGTCCACACAGAGACCAGAGAGAGACCAGAGAGAGACCAGAGAGAGACCAGAGAGAGAGACCAGAGAGAGAGACCAGAGAGAGAGACCAGAGAGAGAGGCCAGAGAGAGAGACCAGAGAGAGAGGCCAGAGAGAGACCAGAGAGACCAGAGAGACCAGTGAGACCAGAGAGAGAGACCAGAGAGAGACCAGAGAGGCCAGAGAGAGAGACCAGAGAGAGGCCAGAGAGAGAAACCAGAGAGACCAGTGAGACCAGAGAGGCCAGAGAGAGAGACCAGAGAGAGGCCAGAGAGAGAGACCAGAGAGAGACCAGAGAGACCAGTGAGACCAGAGAGGCCAGAGAGAGAGACCAGAGAGAGACCAGAGAGAGAGACCAGAGAGAGAGACCAGAGAGAGACCAGAGAGGCCAGAGGGAGCAGAGCCTCCTGGTCCCTGAGTGGACGTCTCTACAGTTTAAGTCTCGTTCAAACTATTATTACTTTCAAACTACTTTTTCAAACACTTCATGCTCAAACGTTTGTGCTTTAACTTTGACCTGAACATGCAGCAGGCTACAGAGTACTACAGAGTACTGCAGAGTACTACAGAGTACTACAGAGTACTACAGTGTACTACAGAGTACTACAGAGTACTACAGAGTACTGCAGTGAACTACAGCGTACTACAGAGTACTGCAGAGTACTGCAGAGTACTACAGAGTACTAGAGTGTACTACAGAGTACTAAAGAGTACTGCAGTGTACTACAGTGTACTACAGAGTACTACAGAGTACTGAGGGGTACTGCAGAGTACTACAGTGTACTACAGTGTACTACAGAGTACTACAGAGTACTACAGAGTACTGCAGTGTACTACAGAGTACTACAGAGTACTGCAGAGTACTGCAGAGTACTGCAGAGTACTGCAGAGTACTGCAGAGTACTACAGAGTACTACAGAGTACTACAGAGTACTGCAGAGTACTGCAGAGTACTGCAGAGTACTACAGAGTACTGCAGTGTACTACAGTGTACTACAGAGTACTGCAGTGTACTGCAGTGTACTACAGAGTACTACAGAGTACTGCAGTGTACTACAGAGTACTACAGAGTACTGCAGTGTACTACAGAGTACTACAGAGTACTACAGTGTACTACAGAGTACTGCAGTGACTCTCTAAAGTCAAGACTTCAAACAGCTGCTGCTTTAGAACACACCTGTCTTAAACAGTACTACTGTACTACTACTGTAGTAGTACTGCAGTAGTAGTACAGTACTCTAACAAAGTACTACTACAGTACTCTAACAAAGTACCACTACAGTACTACTACAGTACTCTAACAAAGTACCACTACAGTACTACTACAGTACTCTAACAAAGTACTACTACAGTACTCTAACAAAGTACCACTGCAGTACTACTACAGTACTCTAACAAAGTACCACTACAGTACTACTACAGTACTCTAACAAAGTACTACTACAGTACTCTAACAAAGTACTACTACAGTACTCTATAGAGTACTTCAATCATGCCGTGATCTAAAGTACCACAGCAGTACTCTTAGGGTTCACACTTGATGGTCTAGACTGGTTCGGTTTAGGATAGGAGCCCAGACCGAGTCCAGACCAAACGTGCTCACACGCCTGTTCACACCGAGCAGAACAGACGCTCGGTGTGAAGAGGCAGTTACACAGAGAATGCGGCTTGGGACAAAGTCCCGGTTTAGTCCTGGTTTAGTCCTGGTTTAGTCCTGGTTTAGTCCCAGTTTAGTCCCGGTTTAGTCCTGGTTTAGTCCTGGTTTAGTCCCGGTTTAATCCCGGTTTAGTCCTGGTTTAGTCCTGGTTTAGTCCTGGTTTAGTCCTGGTTTAGTCCCGGTCTTACACAGGACTCTAAAGCTGGACTGGACAAAGTAGTGACATCATCAATGTGTGTCCTGATTGGGCCACAGGTTGTAGTTTGTGGGAGGTGTAGTTTTATCATGAAGCAATAAGAATTTCAGTCCTGGTCCGGTTCCGGTCTGGTTCAGGTCCGGGCCTGGTTCAGAAGGGCCTGGTGGACTTGTAGTTCTTGGGTTTGATTCCTCGGCTGTTGTAGTATTCCACGACCTGATTTGGGATCTCCGCCAGAACTGACTTTGCCAGAGCAGAGGGTGGAGCCTGGGAGAGAGGGGCGGAGTTAGAGATGAGGGGGAGGAGCATGGGAGAGAGGGGCGGAGTTAGAGAGGGGGAGGAGCCTGGGAGAGAGGGGTCGAGTTAGAGAGGAGGGGGAGGAGCCTGGGTGAGAGAGGGGCGGAGTTAGAGAGGAGAGGGAGGAGCGGGAGGAGCCTGGGAGAGAGGGGCGGAGTTAGAGAGGAGGGGGAGGACCCTGGGTGAGAAAGGGGCGGAGTTAGAGAGGAGGGGGAGGACCCTGGGAGAGAGGGGCGGAGTTAGAGAGGAGGGGAGGACCCTGGGAGAGAGGGGCGGAGTTAGAGAGAAGGGGGAGGAGCCTGGGAGAGGGTGGAGCAAGAGAGGCAGGGGAGGAGCCTGGGAGAGAAGGGCGGAGTTAGATAGGAGAGGGAGGTGCCTGGGAGAGAGAGGGGCGGAGTTAGAGAGGAGGGGGAGGAGCCTAGGAGAGAAAGGCGGAGTTAGAAAGGAGGGAGAGGAGCCTGAGAGAGAGGGTGGAGTTAGAGAAGAGCGGGAGGAGCCTGAGAGACACGGACGGAGTTAGAGAGAAGGGGGAGGGGCCTGGGAGAGAGAGGGGCGGAGTTAGAGAAGAGGGGGAGGAGCCTGGGAGAGAGGCAGAGTTATAGAGGAGGGGGAGGAGCCTGAGAGAGAGAGGGGAGGAGTTACATAGGAGGGGGAGGAGCCTGAGAGAGAGGCAGAGTGAGAGGAGAGGGGGTGGAGGAGATAGAGAGAGACACCAGAGAGAGACACCAGAGAGACACCAGAGAGAGACCAGAGAGAGACCAGAGAAAGACCAGAGACAGACCAGAGAGAGACCAGAAAGAGACCAGAGAGAGACCAGAGAGAGACCAGAGAGAGACCAGAGAGAGACCAGAGAGAGACCAGAGAGAGACCAGAGAGAGAGACCAGAGAGAGAGACCAGAGAGAGGACCAGAGAGAGGACCAGAGAGAGACCAGAGAGAAGCCAGAGAGAGACCAGAGAGAGACCAGAGAGAGACCAGAGAGAGAGACCAGAGAGAGGACCAGAGAGAGGACCAGAGAGAGGACCAGAGAGAGGACCAGAGAGAGACCAGAGAGAGACCAGAGAGAGACCAGAGGGCAGGACTCACGTTTTTGAAGTGGCTGAAAGGCACAAACTGCACATTGTCCCTGACCGCAGCCTGCCCCCTGCTGGTGCGCAGGTCGTCCTGGTCCAGAAGCCGCATGTCGCTGAAGTCGGCGGAGCCCACCCCCACGATGATGATCGACATCGGGAGACGAGACGAGTCCACGATGGCCTCACGAGTGTCCGCCATGTCTGTCACCACACCATCAGTAAGCACCAGGAGGATGAAGTACTGCTGTGGACCAGAGACCAGGGAGGGTGAGACCAGAGACCAGAGACCAGAGACCAGGGAGGGTGAGACCAGAGACCAGCGAGCAGAGACCAGGGAGCAGAGACCAGAGACCAGGGACCAGAGACCAGAGAGGGTTAGACCAGAGACCAGGGAGGGTGAGACCAGGGACCAGAGAGGGTAAGAGACCAGAGACCAGGGAGGGTGACACCAGGGACCAGAGACTAGGGAGGGTGAGACCAGGGACCAGAGTGGATTAGACCAGAGACCAGGGAGGGTGAGACTAGAGAGACCAGTGCCACTGAGCACAAGACATTGATTTGAATGGACTGGGTCTGGACTGGAGCTGGACTTGGTCTGGACTGCGTTCTGACTGGGTCTGGACTCACCAGTGCCTCCTTGGCGTGCTGCTCCTGGGAGGCTGTGAGCGCCACCTTCTGGATGATGGGGGAGATGTTTGTGGGACCATAAAGCTGCAGCTTTGGCAGAATGTTCTGGTACGCCTGCACCAGGCCCTGGATCCCTAAAAACAGAGACCAGTAAGAGACCAGTAAGAGGCCAGTAAGAGACCAGTAAGAGACCAGTAAGAGACCAGTGAGAGACCAGTGAGAGACCAGAGAGAGACCAGAGATAGACCAGAGACAGACCAGAGACAGACCAGAGAGAGAGAGAGAGACCAGAGACAGACCAGAGAGAGAGACCAAAGAGAGACCAGAGAGAGACCCCAAAGAGAGACCAGAGAGAGACCAAAGAGGGACCAGAGATAGAGACCAGAGATAGAGACCAGAGAGAGACCAGAGAGAGAGACCAGAGAGAGAGAGACCAGAGAGAGCGACCAGAGAGAGAGACCAGAGAGTGAGACCAGAGAGAAACCAAAGAGGGACCAGAGAGAGAGACCAGAGAGACCAGAGAGACCAGAGAGAGAGACCAGAGAGAGAGAGACCAGAGAGAGAGACCAGAGAGAGAGACCAGAGAGAGAGACCAGAGAGAGACCAGAGAGAGACCAGAGAGAGACCAGAGAGAGACCAGAGAGAGACCAGAGAGAGACCAGAGAGAGAGACCAGAGAGAGACCAGAGAGAGACCAGAGAGAGAGACCAGAGAGAGACCAGAGAGAGACCAGAGAGAGACCACCAGAGAGAGACCAGAGAGAGACCAGAGAGAGACCAGAGAGAGAGACCAGAGGGAGACCAGAGAGAGACCAGAGAGAGACCAGAGAGAGACACCAGAGAGAGACCAGTATTTTTATTTTCTGTGCGACAGGGAGAGCAGTAGAGATCCTCTCACAAACGGACGGGCTAAAAGAAACTTCAAGCGGAGAACCTTCAACCATTCATCCAGATGCACCCCATGGTAGTGGCAGTGCCCCTTCTGGTAAGTGTACCAGGTGGGGGATTACAGCCAGGCTGCTTGGTCCTAACCCTGGGAGTGTATATTGCTAATATATTTTTATTTATCTCCCTAGAACGTGTAAGAAAGCCATGGTCTGCATCTGAGGTGAAGGCTGTGGAGAAGACCATGACGCCTTTCATACAGACTGGAAAAGTCCCTGGGAAGTCTCACTGCCTGGCCTGGCCTGGCCTGCATTAATGCCTCACCAGATGACCTTAGACATCGGACATGGAGTGGCATTAAATTCTATGTCAAAACAAAAATTCCTTTAAAAGAGTTGTTTGTTTTCTATTGACTGTTTTTTATTACTTAAAGTAGTCCCAGTAAAAAAGATTATGTCTATGGGTCCCATTCTGAACGGCCCTGTCAAAGGGACCCACCAGGTAACAAGAACGTGTATGTGTGTGTGTGTGTGTGTGTGTCTGTGTGTGTGTGTCACCTGCACACTCAGGATTCTCCTCGTTACAGTTCAGTGGGAAGTTGTGAGAGACCTGAGACAGAAGAGCCAACTTTAGAGCTTAGAAGGTTCTTAACAAAAATCACTTGGAGTCGGAGGAGGCGTGGTCAGACTGTGGAGGCGTGGTCAGACTGAGGAGGCGTGGTCAGACTAAGGGGGGCGTGGTCAGACTGAGGGGGCGTGGTCAGACTTGTACCTTGTAGTCTGGTGGAATCTTGGCTCCAAACCCAAACGCAGGGATCATCTTATCGCTGTGAAGACATTTAAAGTTATGTTTATTTGTATAGCGCCCTCTACAGACCAGACCTCAGAGCCTCAGTCTCTCACTGCACACAGAGGCACTGACCTATGGTACATGCAACTGGATCACCTGGAGGAAACCAGACATGGGGAGAACAGGGAAACTCCAGAAAGGTTGGCAGCCACCGCGCCGCCCAGTGTCCGGTCTGCACCTGGCCCTGGTCCTAGTCCTGGCCCTAGTCCTGGTCCTGACCCTGGTCTGGTCCTGGTCTGGTCCTGGTCCTAGTCCTAGCCCTGGTCCTGGTCCTGGTCTGGTCCTGTACCTGTCATAGTCCGGGCCCTGGCCCTGGTCTTGTCCTGGTCTGGTCCTGTACCTGTCGTAGTCCTGGTCCTGGTCTGGCCCTGTACCTGTCATAGTCCTGGTCCTGGTCTGGTCCTGTACCTGTCGTAGTCCTGGCCCTGGCCCTGGTCTGGCCCTGGTCTGGTCCTGGTCTGGTCCTGTACCTGTCGTAGTCCTGGCCCTGGTCTGGTACGGGTCTGGTCCTGGTCTGGTCCTGTACCTGTCGTAGTCCTGGCCCTGGTCTGGTACGGGTCTGGTCCTGGTCTGGTCCTGTACCTGTCGTAGTCCTGGCAGATGTCTCCCACAGAGAGCAGAACCTTCAGATACTCGTTTGGATGAAAAGGATGAATGTAGTGAAGAGAGCAGCTGTTTCCTGGGTCTCCATTGGACGCAGTGAAGTCTATCGCCACCTGCAGGAACACACCGGAACTGCACCTGGTTACACCTGTTTAAAACTACATACTACATACTCTAAATAAAACATGTTTAAAGCTCAGGTCTGTAAGTTACGTCCCCGAGCTTTAAAGTGGATATGGAGAAGCAGCTGTTGGAGAAAGTTGAGTCTCAAACTGGTCCGGTCCAGTTCTGTGAGAGCGAGGGGAGAGAGGGTGAGAGGGGGGAGGGTGAGAGGGGGGGGAGGGGGGGGGGGGGGGGGAGAAAGGGGCGGGGGGGGAGGCCTGTTGTCATGGAAACCGCACCGTGAGCCCCTGGATACGGTTTCCACGGCGACAGAGGAGAGGACGGCACGAGGACCGAGCGCAGAAACAAGACTTTCCCCAGAAACAGAGAGAGAAGAGTATAGAGGCAAAACCAGGTCTGGACCAGGTCTGGATCAGGTCCTGTCCTGATCCAGGACAGGATGAAGACTGTCCTGGACAGAAGATAAACCATGAAGACTGGGACGTGCACATCCAGAGACCGACAGTTTTGCCTTTTCAGTCTTTGTTTCTCACATTATTATTATTTCAAATATTAGAATAAAACTCTTTCACAGACATTTGATTTGTTGTTTTCTCCTGTGTCTGAGTGATTGCACCTGTGTCTCTGTGATTGCACCTGTGTCTGAGTGATTGCACCTGTGTCTTTGTGATTGCACCTGTGTCTGTGATTGCACCTGTGTCTGTGTGATTGCACCTGTGTCTGTGATTGCACCTGTGTCTGTGTGATTGCACCTGTGTCTCTGTGATTGCACCTGTGTCTCTGTGATTGTACCTGTGTCTGTGTGATTGCACCTGTGTCTCTGTGATTGCACCTGTGTCTGTGATTGCACCTGTGTCTGTGTGATTGCACCTGTGTCTGTGATTGCACCTGTGTCTGTGTGATTGCACCTGTGTCTCTGTGATTGCACCTGTGTCTGTGTGATTGCACCTGTGTCTCTGTGATTGCACCTGTGTCTGTGATTGCACCTGTGTCTGTGTGATTGCACCTGTGTCTGTGTGATTGCACCTGTGTCTCTGTGATTGCACCTGTGTCTGCGTGATTACACTTGTGTCTGTGTGATTGCACCTGTGTCTGTGATTGCACCTGTGTCTGTGTGATTGCACCTGTGCCTCTGTGATTGCACTTGTGTCTGTGTGATTGCAACTGTGTCTCTGTGATTGCACCTGTGTCTGTGTGATTGCACCTGTGTCTGTGTGATTGCACCTGTGTCTGTGTGATTGCACCTGTGTCTGTGATTGCACCTGTGTCTGTGTGATTGCACTTGTGTCTCTGTGATTGCACTTGTGTCTGTGATTGCACTTGTGTCTGTGTGATTGCACCTGTGTCTGTGATTGCCCCTGTGTCTGTGTGATTGCACCTGTGTCTCTGTGATTTACCTGTGTTTGTGTGATTGCACCTGTGTCTGTGATTGCACCTGTGTCTGTGATTGCACCTGTGTCTGTGTGATTGCACCTGTGTCTCTGTGATTGCACCTGTGTCTGTGATTGCACCTGTGTCTCTGTGATTTCACCTGTGTTTGTGTGATTGCACCTGTGTCTATGATTGCACCTGTGTCTCTGTGATTGCACCTGTGTCTGTGATTGCACCTGTGTCTCTGTGATTGCACTTGTGTCTGTGTAATTGCACCTGTGTCTGTGATTGCACCTGTGTCTCTGTGATTGCACTTGTGTCTGCGTGATTGCATCTGTGTGATTGCACCTGTGTCTGTGATTGCACCTGTGTCTGTGTGATTGCACCTGTGTCTGTGTGATTGCATCTGTGTCTCTGTGATTGCACCTGTGTCTGTGTGATTGCACCTGTGTCTGTGATTGCACCTGTGTCTCTGTGATTTCACCTGTGTTTGTGTGATTGCACCTGTGTCTGTGATTGCACCTGTGTCTCTGTGATTGCACTTGTGTCTGTGTGATTGCATCTGTGTGATTGCACCTGTGTCTGTGATTGCACCTGTGTCTGTGATTGCACCTGTGTCTGTGTGATTGCATCTGTGTGATTGCACCTGTGTCTGTGATTGCATCTGTGTCTGTGTGATTGCATCTGTGTCTGTGATTGCACCTGGGTCTGTGATTGCACCTGTGTCTGTGTGATTGCATCACTTCACTTCACTTCACTTTATTTCATGTCCCCGATGGGGCAATTTGGTTCACAGCACAGGGACACATACAAAGAAAAAGACATAGAATACATTTTTTCCCCATACATTCAGACTAACAAGGTGTCCGTCTTCCAGTCAGGTCAATGGCAGTTTAAAAACAAGATAAAAAAGAATACAAAAAACTGTCCCCCCCAAGCAAAAATTTCAACCCCTATTTCCTCTGTCTCTGGTTTGAGTTTAGTGTAGAGATCGCTGCATCTGTGTGATTGCACCTGTGTGATTGCACCTGTGTCTGTGTGATTGCATCTGTGTCTGTGATTGCACCTGTGTCTGTGATTGCACCTGTGTCTGTGTGATTGCACCTGTGTGATTGTACCTGTCTCTGTGATTGCACCTGTGTCTGTGATTGCGCCTGTGTCTGTGATTGCGCCTGTGTCTGTGATTGCAACTGTGTGTGGGGGAGGGGCAGACTCACCGTGAACTGGATCTGACAGCCGCCCATGATGTAATCCACGAACGAGTGCATTTTAATGACCTGGAACACAGCATACTATCAGTCTCTCTCTCTCTCTCTCTCTCTCTCTCTCTCTCTCTCTCTCTCTCTCTCCTCTCCTCTCTCTCTCTCCTCTCTCCCCCCTCTCTCTCTCTCCTCTCCTCTCTCTCTCTCCTCTCTCTCCTCTCTCCCCCCTCTCTCTCCTGTCTCCCCCCTCTCTCTCTCACCTCTCCCCCTCTCTCTCTCTTCTCTCTCTTCTCTCTCTCTCCTCTCTCTCTCTCTCTCTCCCTCTCTCTCCCCCCCTCTCTCTCTCATCTCTCCCCTCTCTCTCTCTTCTCTCTCTCTCCTCTCTCTCTCTCTCTCTCTCCTCTCTCTCCTCTCCTCTCTCCCCCTCTCTCTCTCCTCTCCTCTCTCTCTCTCCTCTCTCTCCTCCTCTCTCCCCCCTCTCTCTCTCATCTCTCCCCTCTCTCTCTCTTCTCTCCTCTCTCCCCCCCTCTCTCCTCCTCTCTCCCCCCTCTCTCTCTCATCTCTCCCCTCTCTCTCTTCTCTCTCTCTCCTCTCTCTCCCTCTCCCCTCTCTCCTCTCTCCCCCCTCTCTCTCTCCCTCTCTCCTCTCTCCCCCCTCTCTCTCCCCTCTCTCCCCTCTCTCTCTCTCTCTCTCTCTCCTCTCCTCTCTCTCCTCTCTCCCCCCTCTCTCTCCTCCTCTCTCTCCTCTCTCCCCTCTCTCTCTCTTCTCTCTCTCCTCCTCTCTCTCCTCCTCTCTCTCCTCTCTCTCCTCCTCTCTCTCTTCTCTCTCTCCTCCTCTCTCTCCTCCTCTCTCTCCTCTCTCCCCTCTCTCTCTCTTCTCTCTCTCCTCCTCTCTCTCCTCCTCTCTCTCCTCTCTCCCCCCTCTCTCTCTCTCCTCTCTCTCCTCTCTCTCTCTTCTCTCTCTCCTCTGAGGCTAAAGTAGAACAAGGACATTTGCTTTTATCTCTGTTTCTAAATTAAACTTCTGCAGCTGCGGAGGAGTCTGAGGTCAGGCTGTTAAAGCTCAGGTCTGTAAGTTTAGCTGCACCTTGCACTGGCTGAGGATGATGATGCCCGAGTTCTTGTAGTTTTTCTTCTTCACTTTGTATTTGTGGTTGATGCACGGCCACTGCACCTGGAAGATAAGAGCCATAGTTTCTCATTGTCTCTGGTCTCTCTCTGGTCTCTCTTTGGTCGCTCTCTCTGGTCTCTCTTTGGTCTCTCTCTCTGGTCTCTCTCCATGGTCTCTCTCTGGTCTCTCTCTGGTCTCTCTTTGGTCTCTCTCTCTGGTCTCTCTCTGGTCTCTCTCTCTGGTCTCTCTTTGGTCTCTCTCTCTGGTCTCTCTCTGGTCTCTCTCTCTGGTCTCTCCTGGTCTTTCTGGTCTCTCTCTCTGGTCTCTCTCTGGGTCTCTCCCTGGTCTTTCTTTGGTCTCTCTCTCTGGTCTCTCTCTGGTCTCTCTCTCTGGTCTCTCCCTGGTCTTTCTTTGGTCTCTCTCTGGTCTCTCTCTCTGGTCTCTCCCTGGTCTCTCTCTCTGGTCTCTCCCTGGTCTTTCTTTGGTCTCTCTCTGGTCTCTCTCTGGTCTCTCTCTCTGGTCTCTCCCTGGTCTTTCTTTGGTCTCTCTCTGGGCGTCTGGAGGGTCCGGTCTATTTCTGGATCCAGGGTAAAGACCTGGTCTAGTTCTGTCAGAGTCACAGATGGTCCAGATACTAGGACTGAACTGGGTCATGTCTGCTTTAGACTGTAGTGTACTGTAGTAATACTGCAGTATTACTACAGTACAATACTACTGTAGTACTGCTGTACTACTGTAGTAGTACTGTAGTACTACTGTAGTAGTACTGTAGTACTAAAGTACTGTAGTACTACACTGACCTGTCGTCCTTCGCTCGCTGCTCTCATCTCGTTGTACGTCGCCTCAAATTCTCCGATATAATCGTGTTTCCCGTTAGAATCCCAGTCCCAGACTGTGCACTGGAAACAGAACATCAGCAGTAGCAGTAGCATTAGCATTAGCATTAGCAGTATCACTAGCAGTAGCATCAGCATTATTAGCATTAGCATTGGTAGCATTAGCATTATTAACATTAGCATGTACCTGTAGCTTGCGGTGCTGGTCTCCGCTGCAGAGACAGTTCAGTGAAACTTTGAACGTTTTCCAAACTGGATTGAGGTTGTTCATCACCGTCTGTGTCAGTGACAAACACAGCCTCAGGTCAGTGATAAACACAGCCTCAGGTCAGTAATAAACACAGCCTCAGGTCAGTAATAAACACAGCCTCAGGTCAGTGACAAACACAGCCTCAGGTCAGTGATAAACACAGCCTCAGGTCAGTAATAAACACAGCCTCAGGTCAGTGACAAACACAGCCTCAGGTCAGTAATAAACACAGCCTCAGGTCAGTGACAAACACAGCCTCAGGTCAGTAATAAACACAGCCTCAGGTCAGTGACAAACACAGCCTCAGGTCAGTGATAAACACAGCCTCAGGTCAGTGACAAACACAGCCTCAGGTCAGTGACAAACACAGCCTCAGGTCAGTGAAAACACAGCCTCAGGTCAGTAATAAACACAGCCTCAGGTCAGTGACAAACACAGCCTCAGGTCAGTGACAAACACAGCCTCAGGTCAGCGACAAACACAGCCTCAGGTCAGTGACAAACACAGCCTCAGGTCAGTGACAAACACAGCCTCAGGTCAGTGATAAACACAGCCTAAGGTCAGTGATAAACACAGCCTCAAGTCAGTGACAAACACAGCCTCAGGTCAGTAATAAACACAGCCTCAGGTAAGTGACAAACACAGCCTCAGGTCAGTGATAAACACAGCCTCAGGTCAGTGACAAACACAGCCTCAGGTCAGTGACAAACACAGCCTCAGGTCAGTGACAAACACAGCCTCAGGTCAGTAATAAACACAGCCTCAGGTCAGTGAAAAACACAGCCTCAGGTCAGTGACAAACACAGCCTCAGGTCAGTGACAAACACAGCCTCAGGTCAGTGATAAACACAGCCTCAGGTCAGTGACAAACACAGCCTCAGGTCAGTGACAAACACAGCCTCAGGTCAGTGACAAACACAGCCTCAGGTCAGTGATAAACACAGCCTCAGCTCAGTGACAAACACAGCCTCAGGTCAGTGACAAACACAGCCTCAGGTCAGTGATAAACACAGCCTCAGGTCAGTGATAAACACAGCCTCAGGTCAGCGCAAACACAGCCTCAGGTCAGGGGTGATGTTCTCACCTCAGTTCGATAAACCAGCTGAAGCGTCGCATCGTCGTTGATTCTGTAAATCTCCAGAAAAGGATCTGATTTGGTGAAAAAGTCCTGGATCAGAAACAGAGACATGAGTCAGGACCACAATGAGACCGTGAGGAGACCGCAGAGAGCCCGAGGAGACCGCAGAAACCCTGAGGAGACCACAGAGACCCCGAGGAGACGAGACCCCAGAGACCCCGAGGAGACCACAGAGACCCTGAGGAGACCACGGAGACCCTGAGGCGACCACAGAGAGACCTCCAGCTTCAGTCAGTATTTAGTCAGCACCAGTTGGAGAATGTCACATGGTCAGATCAAACCAAAATAAAACTTTTTGGTAAAAGGTCGTGTTTGGAGAGAGTTCACCTGCTGTGAAGCATGGGGGTGGAAACATCATGCTCTGGGGCTGTTTTTCTGCAGAGGGACCAGGACGACTGATCCGTGTAAAGGAAAGAATGAATGGGACTAAAGCTGTAGAGTTGCCACAGGACGCTTCATCAGCCTACGTCAGCTGCCGAGGACTGCTATCATAACATAAGCAGTGTGGCGCAGTTGACTGCTTAAACTAAACTTTACCCGAAAGTTTGACTCTTAAAACCCACATGTGCCAACACGGAACCATCAACATCTCGCCTCAAATTGCATTAAAAGTGACATTCGTGTCTTATTTCGTTCGTATTATAACTTTTAAAGGAATTCACGGACTTTCTGTCCGCCATCTTGGTATGCTTTGGTTGCCGTGAGACGCGCATGCGCGCAGGTTTGCATTACATCATTAACAGCTGAGCATTACATAAGCGTCACTTTTTGGCAGAGCGTTACAACTCGGCAGAACACCGGTGTAACGCCGAGATACACTGTCTTGAAGAGATGCACTGCCTCAGCTGTTTATGATGTAATGCAAACCTGCGCATGCGCGTCTCACGGCAACCGAAGCATACCAAGATGGCGGACCGTGAATTGCTTTAAAAGTTGAAATACGAACGAATTAAGACACGAATGTCACTTTTAATGCAATTTGAGGCGAGATGTTGATGGTTCCGTTTTGTCACATGTGGGTTTTAAGAGTCAAAGTTTTGTGCAAAGTTTAGTTTAAGCAGTCAACTGCGCCTGTGAAACCACAAAGCTAATGTTTTCATAGCAGTCCGCGGCTGCTGACGTAGGCTGATGACGCGTCCTGTGGCCACTCTACACTCTTACACTGGTCTGTCGGGTTGATAATGGAAATAATAAATTTCATTCAATACATGTATCGTACTGTATTTAATATGATTAACAATAGTGTGTTCAAACAAAATATTTAATTAGATTGATTTTTTTCCCCATTTTCCATTATCAACCCGACAGACCAGTGTAAGAGTGTAGAGTGGCCACAAGACGCGTCATCAGCCCACGTCAGCAGCCGCGGACTGCTATGAAAACATTAGCTTTGTGGTTTCACAGGCGCAGTTGACTGCTTAAACTAAACTTTGCACGAAACATTGACTCTTAAAACCCACATGTGACAAAACGGGACCATCAACCTCTCGCCTCAAATTGCATTAAAAGTGACATTCGTGTCTTAATTCGTTCGTATTTCAACTTTTAGCAAGTTAATGCTTGGTATGCTTCGGTTGCCGTGAGACGCGCATGCGCAGGTTTGCATTACATCATAAACAGCTGAGGCAGTGCCATCTCTTCAAGACAGTGTATCTCGGCGTTACACCGGCACAAAATGAAGATCCTGGTCGTTTGTTCTTCCTCTGATGAAGAACCTGTGGATGTCTCTATTGTTCTCGACAGCAAGGAGATTGTGACTGGATGTGGAAATACTGCAAAGGCATGTGCACTGCTAATGGGTCTAATATATTCCTTCAATCTTGCTTATCCTACAACACTACGATACACCTTCGAAGTATTTCAGAAGATTTTCTTACATTTAAATGCATTTAAGCCATCCCCGAAAATACAAACACTGAAAGTCAAGCTACTGTCCAAAACATAAGAGAAGCAATTTTGTTCAGCATAAGAGAAAAGGCCACAGATTTTATATAATTTGATGTTGTTACTTTAGCTTAGACTCTAGCTTAGACTAGAATATGAAAATTAGTCATTAAAACATGGACATGTTAAATTAATTGACTATTCTTGAATCTAGTAACTCCTCATGTAACAGTGTTTTAATTAGGGAAAATGTGAAAGAGCTCGGCCACTTCTAAAATTACCTCGGTCTGGAGCGATTGAGATTTACTGCGAGAGGCTAATGCTACAACATCCTGGTCTTTCGCTGAACAGAGGCTCAAAGACCAGGCAGGTGCATCATCTCATCTAAGCTAATGACATTTAATTATAGAAAATCAATGGCCTATCTCTATACCATTCCCATTGCATCCTTTTTGTGATAATTAAGTTTTCTGTTGTCATGTGTTCTGCTTTTAAGGTCAGCTTTAGTTCATCTTTTAGTTTTCATTGTTGATGTGTGAACTTAAAAGTTTGTCAATAAAACAGGTTGTTAAATGTTGATATTTGCATATTGTTTTTTCTTATTAATTCAATAATAATGTAATTGTTACACACATATAGTACTTAATAAGTATTATTGCAATGATATGAAATATACTGATAAAATATAAATAACATTTATTCAAGTTATCCATTATTGTAAATGATCTGTACACATAATGGTTACTCAGTATATCTATTTCACACATAAATAACCTAAAAAAAATCACATAAACCTTACTTGATTATTTTATGTGATCAAGTAAAAAAAATCACATTTGTTAAGTAAGGTTTACTTACAAATAACATTCAGATTATACTTGATGAAATAAAAAGAGTTTTACTTGATTTATAGTAGTAATCTTTAATTATATCTTCGTGCAAATACTTACGAGGATTTTTTTAAGTAAATGTTAATCACGATTTTTTTCAGTGTATAACGTAAACTTTTGCATCACGTTGGTGATCTTTCCAAAAAGAGAGAATATCGTTATGGAAAGAGAAACTATTGGTAATATAACGCTGAACGTTATTTGACTCAAACAGCTTGGAACAATTGGATTACAAAATTTGGACATCATTTGGAACAATCTGGATTTCTGAATTTGGACATCATTTGGAACAATCTGGATTTCTGAATTTGGACATAATTTGGACTGAATTGAATTACTGAATCTGGACACTAAAGCTGAAACGTGCGATTGAAAGACACGTCACAGAAGAATTCATGGCTCGACACAAATGCAGCCTGAAGAAATCAACACGGAGAAGTGGGAGAGACTGTTTTCAAAGCAATATCTGAGAACCATTGACTGATGAAGTTTGGTATTTTACTGAAGATTGTTGACAAGTTTTATGAAAGATCTGAAAATGTTTTATGAGTTTTCTGAGTTTTTTGAAGTACCGAGTGAAGTACCGAGTTTAAGTATTGAGTTATGTATGTTTGTTCTACGTAAATACTGTATGTGTGCTATTTTTGTTGCACAATGCTGTAGAATTGCATAGAGCATATGCAGTAAATATGTGAAAGACATACAGTACATACATATATATCTCACTAAATACAGTCACAATGAAAACATGACTAAATCATTTGACTGTTGTTCATAAACACTGGTGTCAGGACACAGACACAGACCGTTTCATTGACATGAAGACTTTCTTTTGAGGAATTAAGTTCATTTTGAGGAAGTGACTTTTTAGCAAGTTATCCATGAGGTTTTGCCGATTGCACTAATTGTTCTGAGAAATGCACAAACTGATTACAAAATATATACTGTGCATTCTCAGGGGACACACTGCCATGGCATCTCTTCTGCATTGTCCACATGTGTACTGTATCTGTGGACTACTGTAGTACTCTCTTGGAGCTCTCCCTCCCCCGCACGAATAAACAAAGGCCACCCCAGGCCCCTGCTGTTATAAGTCATTACCTAAATTTGCAAATCAATACATGCAAATGTTAGCAGCCAACCTAGCATAGTGTGTATCATCTATGGTATTAAGCAACTTTTGTTAAAGTTAAACTCATCATTCTATCAATGTGCAGAAGCCAGTACTTTTCCCTTGTTTTGTCTATCTGAAGGCCAAGCTACATGCACAACGTGGAAGCTGCTGATTGGAGGTCTCCATGCCTCCGCTCTGTATAATACACTTGCATTTTGTTGTTCGTGCTGTCTCTACCATCGACAATAAAACATGTCTTCTGTCTGAATTTAAGACACGATCCCAGACTTTGTCATCTTCTTCAGGTGGTGGAGGATGCGGGCCTTGTCTGTAACATCTAGAGAACAGAAGACTACTTTTTGTTTAAAGTCATAATTTCAATATTTTTTATTTTTATACACACATTATTAACTAAACTGTTGCGTTCTAATCTTTTTTTAGGAGGAGGAGAGCGCAGTCAGGCCAGGCTCGCCTCGCACATCTTAACACTAGAACTTGTTGATTAGCATTTGTATAGCTCACAGCATTGTCATTTACATGTTAAAGCCTCCTGTGGAGGAGGGAGGAGGGGACAACAAACTACCGTCAACAGCCGAATCCCAGAAGTTTCACAGTAATATACAGGGCCGAAAAGAGACAAAAATCACACTTTTCACTTTTCTCAAAAAAAAGATGACTTAAAGGAACAATATGTAAAAATCTGGCCAAAAGTGGTACTGCAGTCATAGTCAATATTTTGTAGTCCTCTCCCACTCTCCCTGACAGGTTGCCAGATTCACACCAAATCCAGCAGCAAACACAGGGAATTATTTTATCAGTTGTTTGTCCGTCTCCATTCACATTGCCATGACAGCCGTGCTAATGCTGAATGAATGTTTTGATTAATGTTTTTTTATTATTATTATTTGGACATTTGAGATAAAAAAACAAAAACAAAATAAAAGCAATGTAATTATACATAGTTTATGCAAAATAAATAAGCAATTGATGTCCAAAATAGGAGTGGGAAGAATGGATGTTGGAACGTATTTCTTCAGCGTATCAACATCAGGGTTTGCTCAAGAGGATATCACCTTTCAATTTTATTTATTCCCTATTTTTTAGACAAACATGTAAAAGTTCCACATCAAAAAGAGACTAACATTATTTTAATTGGGGTACAT